ACGGGCAGCAATATCTGGGTATTTAAAAAATTTCCTTGCTGTGTTACCGTCATTTGTTGTTCCACTTCCTCCAGGTTTCACTTGGTCGACTAGTAGTCCTAGTTCTTGCCTCAGCTGCTGCTGAACTTCCATTTTAATAGCCTTTAACATGTCTTTATCACCTCCTCGGGCCTGCCATTTTTCGAATGGTAATCGATAGGAAACATGCAACAGGCACTCGAAAAACCTAATCCACGCATGTAATGTTGATAATCCGAAACGAAATGATTCTTTATTCACATTTTTAGCTTCGACTCTGTCAATCTGATTAATTTCTTTAGGGATTGCGTGACATATGTAGCAAGAGAGCGAAGACGTTTGAAACGAAGTAGCATTGCATATTTTTCCGTCAACCATAGTCAGTATAGGGATGGTCGACCTACTTGAGAAGTTGATGCTGAACTCATGCTGTCGTATTCAACATTGATAAGTAACCAACTTTCATTTTTTTTAAGAAACGGTCTTTATTCCTAGATGATGCTTACCATCTCTTTGCCAGTTCACCACAAAATCGAGACACATTTTTTATTATATCTTGCCTATATTTCTGTAAATGCTCTTCACTAAAAGAATTCACTATATTATCCTAAGAGCTTTATTTTTCTCGGTAATATTTCTTCCCGATATTAGCCAAACTTCAAAAAGCTCAAGGCGTGAATAAATCCTTTTGTTTTCTGCAAAAAAAAATAGTCTGTAACTATATCGCGTATTAATCATAGTACTTAATTTTATTCGTATCTAAAATTTGCACGACGTATTACTTTTTGCTATATTAATTGGGGTAGCACTTTGGCGCAGTATTTAGAAAAGGTTAGAGGACATTCGGATGCATATCACAGAATAAATAATTTCGCCGGGAAATACAAGGAACTTTTCATATTTCTAGTGAAAGTGAGGAATCCTGTACAAAATATGATGTAAAGTAAGCGTATTAAAGATTCTTAGCTATCCTGTTTGAAAAAAAGTAAACCACGCAAAAAATATCCTACAAATAAGCACATACCTTGAACCACACTTGCCATATTCGGTTTAGATATAAGCACTTCGGTAACGGTTCTTGCAGCACTTCAAATATATGTATCTGAAAAACACTTTTATTCGCTAAACAGCTCTGTATTACATCCGTCCACTTCAACGATTTGTAAATAAGTAACTAATGCGAAACTGATAATTTTATTGTCAGGTACCTAAAGTTTAATGAATTTACAGCAGTGAGGGGTCAATAAAACCCTGCTGTGAAACATCTCTTAAAAGGATATTTTGGCCGGGATTTATGATTTTTGGCCCATAGTGCAGTGGCGGCTTGTCGTAATTTAAAAAGCGTGTTCACAATTTTTAATTCAGTGCTCTACAGAAGAAAAAAAATATAATTTACACAATGAGTGTTGAACGTTTACGTTATCCGTAACGTACATGTTAGGCCGAATTTTAAAAGTAACGAGGCAAGTTCATATGATGGAAAACTGTTAAATTAGAACATAACAGGCGGAAAATAACAGTAATGTGTTGGAAAAAGTTTTCCATCATACGAACTTGCCTCGTTACTGTTAAAACTCGACCTAACATGTACGTTGGACCCATTGTCGGGTACAATATTAATACCTCGATTAATACAGTGCAAGAAAGAAACGTCAAGTTTAAATTATAGAAATAATGCAAAAATATGCTTATCTAATATAATCAGTGTTCTGACTAGGAATGCGCACGATGTATCGTTGTTTTTCGATGTTGACATCGATGTTTCTTTATCCGATGTTATTATAGTTAACATCGATAATTTCTTTTTCGATGTTTGTTAAGCTTTACGTTTGAATTCAATGGCCTGAAGACCTTTTTTTGTCTCTTCAATGAATGTTTTTAATAAACACCGATGTTTAAAAAAATCGATATTTTCTTTTCTGATTTTTTATCAATATCGCTAGTCTGTATTCGATATATCATTTTTTGATGTCAACATCAATGTTTTAAAAAATTTGCGCATACCTATTTCAGACTAGCCGTTTGCGAGGGGGTTCTTAACCAAAAAATGGCAAGCCAAATAGCCCGGAATAATCGAAAGCGGATTATCAGAACACCCAATTGGACCAACATACCAATTTTCATAGATAACGCGTCCAGAGTATTTCATTGATTGGGCTCTATCTGACAATTTCAAGATTATTTTTACAAAATCGCCCAAAAAAAATTAAAATGTTTTTAACTTTGTAACTTGCCACTGTCGCGCGAATTTTATTTAATCTCTTTTTATTTTTCAGATTGCTGTCTATTTATGTGTTGTTGATGAATATTATTGCATGCGTGTACCTTACAAAAACGATCTTCACATTCCTTTATTTGTAAATACGCTAATTTTTTGTGTAAAAGTTTGTACGAAAATTAAAAAATACATAAATAATTTAAATTGCTCGACAATCTTTAATATTTATTTATAAACTCGACATTTTGTGATTACATATCGCACGGAAATAGAATGAGATAATATAATATATAACCAATTTGTTTGACATTCCTGTTGAAATATAACGAGACCCACCTAATCTGGGAAAACAAGAAATTTAATAAAAATCATCTCAACCTTTGAAAGTTACGATCTTTTCTGTAGTACTTGTGAATCTTAAGTAACAAATATGACAACTGTAGATTACGTAATTATATATGCGATTACAACCTACCGCAAATTATTTGGTCCTCTTATGAGGTACCGCCTCCGTATTCCCTGTAAGAATTCCCTCTGCTAATGCCGAAACTCTTATTACGTCTATGTATTTTCTTAAACTGGAACAAATAAATTCCATTGGAAATAATCTTGGTCGTATTCTCGATTTGATCTTCGTATCTGATTTCGATCACCTTCTCGTTTCACCTAGCAAAAGTCCATTGCTTAATGTTGACAAATTTCACCCTCCTGTCGAGTTGTCCATCGATCTTTTAAAATATGTTCCATTAAAATCCAATTCTCCCAATATGTGTATATATTCAAAGACGCTAATTTTAAAAAACTTAATAACTTACAATCAGGTGGACTAGACGTCAGTCAATAAAGCATCAAACATCGAAGATAGTTGAAAAATTTTATAACATTTTGTTTAAAAGACATCAATCAATTTGTTCCAAAAAAGACTGTAAAAAACATTAAATATGGCATATGGAATTTCTCCCATTTTCTTAAAAAATTGTCAATCCTCACTTTCTACTCCTCTATGTTAATTATTCTAAAAATGTTTTGAAGATGGTTTCTTTCCCCAACGTTGGAAATATTCTTAGTGCCAATATTTAAATCCGGCGACAAATCTAATGTTTCAAACTATCGAGGAATCTCGATTATTTCCAGCATTCCTAAAGTCATGGAGGCTATAATAGCAGATGACATATTTGTGTCTTTTTGGCAATGCATTGCACCACAGCAGCATGGTTTTTTCAAAGGGCGATCAGCAACTATTAATCTTGCTGAGTATCAGCAGTTTCTTTTATCTGCAATAGAGGATGGCAAACAAGTGGACTCTATCTACACTGATCTGTTTAAAGTTTTCGACAGCGACACCTTGAGTTTATTCGTTCTATTAAACAACGTCGTCAGAGAGTGAATTTATGTGGTTTTTTTTTGCATCTAGCGAAATTTTGGTACATTCAGGTGTGCCACAGGGCCGCATACAGGACCTATATTGTTCATACTTTTTATTAACGATGTAACAACTTGTTTTAATAACTCCAGTTGCCTCCTATATGCAGATGACTTAAATTTTTTTTTCAAACGTCAATGACCTTTCAAACAATCACTTACAAACAGATTTCAGCAATTTGGTTCAATGGTGCAATGATAACTTGCTTAAACTGAATATCGATAAATGTAAAGTTGTATAAGGTTCAATGAAACAACTAATATCATTATGCATGATTATGTCATTGCAGGTTCTGAACAAAGTGTTGAGCAGACTATAAATGATCTTGGTGTTATTTTTGACAGGGACCTATCGTTTATTCCTCATTTGGGAGAAATTGTAAATTGAGCTTTTCGACTGCTGGGCTTTGTCAAAAGGAACACCAAGCACATTTATGACACGGCAGCTTTGAAAAGTTTCTACTTAGAAGCATTTTAGAATAGTGATTTGGGCACCTAACTACAATAATTGTCATATTGATAAATTAGAAAGAGTGTAAAATGAATTTTCGAAGTATCTACTGTATAAACATAGGCTTCCATCGCAAAATATAGTTTACCAAACCAGAATTCTGTTGTGCGGACTTAAGAGTTTGGAATGCAGACATCGAGAAGCATCGCTTGTTTTCCTGTATAAGTTATTGAACTGTTTGATTGATAGTGACAGCCTGGTACATTTTATTAGATTCCTTGTTCCTGCCAGACTTACTAGGCAGATTAAACTATTTTATGCAAATACTCATAGAACTATATGGAATTTTCATTACACTATTGACTTCATTTTTATACTGTGACAATTTTATTAATTTCTTTTTTTATTTTGATATTTTAAATGTACCATTTAGAACTTTATGCATCTGTACCGTACTGTAAACAAATAAATTAGTAACTTTCATGACAACTTAAGTATTAGTTTGGTCAATTAATTTAGTGACATTGTTTTAGGGTTACTACTGAAATTATTGTTATTTTTAGTCAACTGATGTATTGTTACATGGTTTGTAATAGTTTCTCTCAAACCAAATCTGTTATCACTGGAGTGCCTTAAAAGTGAGCGTTATGGAATGCACGATACAAGTGAAACTAAAATAAAAAAGACGTAAATAAAATCTACATACAAAAATATATATTGTACATACTAGGACAATGCATAAATGGCGATCATATACAGTCGGAATGGGACTTCAAGTGGGGACTAGGTTGTCGTTTTTTGTCAATTCAGGCCTCATATTTTTTATGCCAGGGCGAGCCGTACGAAGGTGCGTTCCTGGATAGGGGCATTACATTGAATAATACAAATATGTTATTATAATCGTTTATTATATGAATATAAAAATTTCAATAAGAAAATGAACACGAATAATCTTAACTCTATCAGTCGGTATTAACTATATCTACGTCGTATAAAAAATATCAATTCATCATGAGTCTCATGGTTGTCCAGCTAATGCGTCTAAGGCCATACATTTACATTTGCATCCACTGACGGGACATTCTTGATGTTCACTAAAAAATACATGTTTTGAGATTATTAAATGCAAAATAATTCCACATACTTGTATTAAATTGGCGAGTGATTTTGGCTAAAGAGCCATTTTCAAGACAATAAAATTGAATTTTATACAAAATAACATACAGGGTCTTTCATTAAGAAAGGAACACAGAAGACCTGAAGATTCTTTGATTAAAAAGAAGATGATTAAACGAAACATGCGTAGATAAAATATTACCCTTTTCCGAAATATAAATATATAAATTTTAAAATTCAAAAATTAATGGCCATAATTTTTGAATTTCTCAGTATAATTTAACTAAATTCGGCAAACATTTTTGGTGTCATAAGATAACACCTATTAGCAAAAAAATCAATCAAATAAACTTTATCAGTGGTGTACAGCATGGATAAGTAACACCTTAATTCCTTCTAAATTTTAAACCACGTAAAAAACTAATTTCGGCTATAATTTTAACTTTTTTGATATTTTTTTAAATAAATAATGTACTCTTGTTGTAAATATACCCAAATTTTGCAAAAGTAAGTGTTTTTGGGTTATACAAACGAATACCCTTGTTTGTTACATAACATGTACAGGGCGTTCTAAACTGGCGTGCCAATATTGTATGTTATTTCTTGAGCCTTATTATTTCATTTTTATTTTTAATATTGTTTATAGAATTAGTTAACTTAGTAACTACAATCCTAATTCTTAATTGTGCAATATACAATTTAAATATGGTTTTAGACGTAACCAATCGCCAATTTAATAAAAGAATGTGGAATTGTTTTTTTTTACGTTTTATTGATCTCATTAAAGACAATTACATTTGATAGGTTGGAGTTTCTACTTCGAATAAAAAATAAATTGAGCTCTACCTTTTTCAAAAAGTTTAGAGATGCTACAAATTATTTGTAAACCCTCTACATTTAATTGTAATTGGACAACTCATTAGTTTAATGTACCGTATAAAAAATTACCAATATAATAAAGAACACGCCTAAATCATTTTCATAACTTTAACAGTCGATAGTCAAACATCTTAATACTTACTCAAACCATTTTGACAAATGTCCTGCATGACCGCCATGTCTGCAAGTTTGGCACCAAGTGAACCAAAGTTCAAATGGTGTCATTTTACTGCCTGAAGGTTCTCCTGTGGTGGTACCCATATATTGCAGGCAAATACAGCATCTTGGCAAAGGTTTTCTACAGTTTGGACAAGATGATAACTGAAAAAAAAAATGGAATTGCATCATTAATCATTAGAGATGATACCTTTCATGAAAAGTAATTGTTGGACTAGTTCCACGGATGTCCGGAAAAGTAGTGAAAAGTAATGAAGTCACAATTAAAAGTAGTCGACCTTGAGCATAGAAGATACACAGTTAAATCTCCATCCTGGATGTTTTTTTTTTTTTTAACACTTTGGGAACAATATTTGTATTTTCGTTTATTTAGGTAAATCATTTCTAAAATACTTCCAACCTATGGATTTTTTGGAATTTTTTTACGAGTTTATTTTAATAAGATATGAAATGAAAATTCGAAAACAGTTAAAACATTATAACAGTCAGTATACATTTGTCGTTTTTTCTTTTTTAAACTATATTTTTCCTTTATTTGTAAGAAATTTACTTTCTCGCATGTGCAGTACTTTTCCACTTTTGAAAAGTGTGTTAAAATCACATTTAACAGTTTGCGTTATTTCAAATTTAAATTCCTTCGCGCCGCTGCAACAGACTAAAAAAGTATTTCCGTTGCTGCTTAAGCCTTTCAAGCATCGACGCGCGCAACCCTCTCATATAACGACCACGTCGAACACTTGCATTTTAGCCCCGGTCGAGAGAGGTCCGTGCACCGATCGACTGGTAAAACAACAATCTAAATAGTTCATTTTAGTGAAAATTATTTCTCCTACCTCTGTATTTGTTGTATCTAGTGAACTTGTGTTGTGTAAAACATTTGGTAAGATCTTTTTCATCTTTACTCAATATTCCGGCAATTTGCCGGCCGAACCAAAGAAACCGCAGCGTTGCCAGATCTATATCTCAAAGTTATGTAAATTTACTAGTTACGGATTTTATTATACTTGTGAACCTTTTCCACTTAAGTGTATAAAAAGCTCACTCGGAAAAATTGTGTTGTTATTTTTCTCTTTCCTGAATTTTCAGGTGGTCCTTCGAAATAGACAGTAAGTTGATGATCGCGATTGAAACTATGTTCAATAGTCTTAGGTACAGTTCAACAAATAATCATCTCGTTTTGTACAAAGTGTGTTTGGACTAGTCAACTTTACAGACTAGTCCGTCGGACTTGTCCATAGACTTTTCCAAGCGACCCATCACTATTAATCATTAGCTTGGTTGGTACATGCCATAGATAAAATAATAAGGAAGATAAATCGTTTAAATGCACCATACTGGTAACAAGATGGCATAATGTAACGTATTTAAACTAAATAAATTGAAATTGATGTTAGTTCCTAACCATACTACTTGGTGCCACAATGGCATTAGTATAAAAGCGATGTTGCCAATTCCCATAAACTTTCATGATATGAGAGTTATTTCAGTCGGCTGAAAGAGCTGTCAGAAATCTAGACATTCATATAAATAGGAAGTTGATCATCTATCTAAATAAAAACAAAATGAAAATCACCAAAATCATACAAATTTTTGGTGATTTTCAAAACAAGGGCTATGTGTGACCTTAGTAGTTTGTCCCTAACAAAATATACTTTAATTATTTTTCTAATGTCCAGATTTTATGTTTATTAGTTGAAATTACCTTTGCTTTAGTAGTCGTTGTTTTGTGGAGTTGTGGTCCTCCTCTACTTTTATCCATGTTTTGCAAATAAGCAGATATACTCTTTCCGCAAAAATTGCAAGATATATAAACTTGTTGAGGTGGCTTTTGCGTGGAGAAACCTGCCAACATTATATCATAATCTGCTCTCTCATGGAACATTTTCCAACTGTTCAAAAGGTCCCTGTAACTAAAAGGAAAAATATGACTAAGGGTGGGTTTTACAAAGTGTGCTGTAAACTCAGTTTAAATTTTTAACAGGTTATATTCAAAGTACAAATAAGAGATTTACAGTTTAAATTAATATTACATTTTAAACCGCCCTAAGGGCTAGTTTTTCTCTTCTGAGTAAAGTTGGAAGTAACTATTTGCTGATTATGATGTGGGTTATAATTTACTAATCTATCAAGTAAACCTACGTGTAACTTTACTCAGAGGTGAAAAAATGGGCCCTAAACCTGTAAGTACACTGATTGGTTATAAATTGTTTACTTGTATTGAATTAGGGTTTATTTTTGTTGAACATACAACATTTAAATAATTTATTTGAAGCAATTTGGAAACTTACTTTTCGATCCAATTTTTAACAATTTCTGAAGTCAAATCATCGTGGAATGCTCTAGTTGCAATTACAGTAGTCGACTGAATGTCGCCAGTATTGTCTAAATACTTTTGCAAAAGCTTTAGGCCACTATCGCTATTACCTAAAAATTAAAAAATAATGTTCTTCAGTTATATGGGTCACTAAAAAGTTTTTATTTAAAAGTCCAACATATGTTTCGGAAAATTAATGTTTACTCTAACGCCACTGGTAATTTTTAAGTCTGTAAAAACTGTTTTTGTTTTCCTACTAATTTTATATTCTAAACATCGTATAGCGAGAACTAAATGAATTTTCACCTACCAAAAATCATTATTAAGATTGTGGAATGTTAAAAAATTTTATAGAAAAAATTTGTGATAGTATTTAATTTATTTGTAAGAGTAGGTAAATCCTTTGGAAATGTGTTTAATATAAAAGAAAAGTATTTATTTCTACAACTGTACAAGCAGCGGAAAGCTTAACATAAATTATTAAAAAAAAAAAAAATTAGAATCTTTTCAATGAACGTCAGTAAAATCCATATACCATTTTTAATGAATAATATTTACAAATCTGATGTTTTTCCAGCTTCTAAAAAGAAGATGAATCGAAGATAACAAACTACATACTAATTTAACCTTTATCTTAAATTTTCTAAAAATAAATTTGGTCATCTTTGTAAAAAAACAAAACAATTTCTGAATAAGTTCGTCTATTTTTATATATCGACGGTCTCAATTCAATAGCTCGTATGTCCAAATTAAACATTTTAGAAGAGGAACATTAAACTTGATTGCTTAATAAAGCCAATTAATTATTTGATAAATAATGCTGACAAGTAAATAAATATATGAATAACCTATAAACGTGGTTATTTTGTTATTTTTAAAATTTTGTTTTAAATTAATTTGCTTAGATGGAAAAAAGTAAAAATTCGAAATTTCGGACTTGCGAGGTATTGCTTTGAGACCATCGATATCCAACCTTCTGTCCGTTCTTCAATATACAGTGCATTCGCGTATTTGTGACACTTTCTTTTCATTTAAATTTCCCGCGTATTAAGAGCGCTACGCATGTAGCACTCGTTTTTCAGCGTCCCCCATTACACAGATGAGATTTCGTGTTGCCGCTGCTCTGCCGGTTCGTCCGAGGTAAGTCGTTTAAAATGTCGTTTTAAAACGTAATTCATGATAATTTCATAACAAATTGTGTAACTGGTATGTCTAGGAAGTTAGAATTTGGATTCAATGTGCATTTACTGATGTTTTAGTAGTATATCAAATATTTACATGATTTATAACCTAAAAATAATTTTTGATGGCAAATGACGGGGTGTCAAGTTTAACCGACAAATTGTTCACTGGTTTTAAATCTGACAAAATTGTACAGGCAGTATGTACCTCATTGTATTATCAGGATACAGTACATATACACATTATAGTTACACACTAACGAAATATCATTATTTAAAAAAAAATCATTTATAGTCCATAATCTATAAAAACTTGAATATTTTTTTTATAGATCGCAATCAAAATGCCAAAGACTAAAGAAAAAAAGGTGAAATCCTACACATCAGAAGATCTAGCAAAAGCAATACAAAGTATTAGAGAAAATATCTATTCTGTTAAAAAGGCAGCAGAAGTTTTTCGCGTTCCCCGATCTACACTAATTTCTCGTACCAAAGGTTGGAAAAATAGAAAACAATCAACAAATAAAAAACCCTGGTCATTCTGTAGACTTGAGCACCGAAGTAGAAGAAAAGTTGGCGTTGTATTTAAAGATACAAAGTAAATGGGGTTTCGGTCTTTTCCGGAAAGAGATACTGGTACTTGTTGGAAGATATGTGCAAGAAAATAGTGTGCAAACTCGTTTTAAAAACTCAATACCTGGAAAGGACTGGTTTTTGGGTTTTAGAAAGCGACACGGTATGGGATTACTTGATAAACCAAGCCAAATTTTTAACCTCGACGAGACATCATTAGGCTCAGACCCATCAAATACCAAGGTTGTATCAGCAACAAATCAACCTGTTTCGTCAAACTACTGGTACTGGTAGGACTAACATTTCGATATTATTTACAATCTCGGCAAATGGTGACAAGATGCCTCCATTTATCTTGTATCATGCTAAGCACCTATGGGATATTTGGATGCCTGAGGAAGCTTATCCAAACACTGGATATGCTGCTACCCAACGCGGATGAATGACGGAAATAGCATTTTTTAACTGGTTTAAAAACCACTTTTTAAAGCATTGCCCAAAAGAACGGCCTCTTCTTGTTATTTTCGATGGTCATTCATAGCACTTATCTTTGGATCTAATAGAATTAGCTATTAAGGAAAACATTTGTCTTCTCAAACTACCTCCGCACACGACGCATATTCTGCAGCAGTTGGATTCGCTCGCGTTTGGTGTTTTTAAAAAATCATGGGATGAAGAGTTAACTGTATGGCAGCGACAAAACTACGGACGTCTCCTAACCAAAGCAGACTTCTCCATTTTAGTAGGAAAAATTTGGACAGAATTTCCACAGAAATTATTGAAAAAATAATTTCAGTTGACTGGCTTATTTAATCATAACAATCCAGATAACCCTGTAGATATAACTGTTGTTAAAGAATCAATCTTCAGACCAAATGATCTTCAAGAATATTTCAAAAAACAAATTACAATGCTCAAGAGGAAGCTTGATCAGTTCATGACGTTAAAGTTGAAGGGGAAAGAATCTTAGGGCCAAGAATGAACTCTGAAGACGATATGGAACCGGTTCCTTCTACTAGTAAAAACCCAATTCCTTGTACTAGTTAAGGCCCAATTACCTCTTTTGAATCTCTGCTAATAGACACGATTGCAACAGAAAATAAAGACGTGAATAAACGCAAAAAAATTAGCAACAATACCGTCGAGATACTTACTAGAGATTATTTATTACAGTTGAAGAAACAGCATTGAAAAGAAAAATGTTACAAAAAATAAAATTGTTGAACAAGATTCAGAGAGCGAAATAGAAACTAAAGTTAAAGAAATAGAACACGAAATATCAAGCAGTAGCGACACCGATGAAATTCTAACTTTCAAAAATTTAGTAGACAAGTGTAAATTAAAAATTAAAAAAAACCGACTTCAAAAACGTGCAAATGCCATCGCCACATCTTAACAAAATTTATATGGGATCACCCCTGAGGTACCCCCTTACTAACAAAAAAAGAATCATATAAATCGGACAAGGTGGTAAAGCATTATCGCTAAACATACATAAAAAATGAAGAGTTTGAGGATTTTCTCATGGACCCAATTTTTAAATTTTGACCAAATTTATATGGGGCCACCCCTGAAGTAGCTTCTTTCTAACAAAAAAAGAATTATTGAAATCGGACACCGTGTTAAAGAATTATCGCTGAACATACATATAAAAAAAAAATATCGCGACGAATTGACAACCTCCTCCTTTTTTGAAGTCGGTTAAAAATGAACAAGAGGAGTTAAATTATGAAAAGGAACTGGAAAACCCTAATGACAACCAAAATTACGAAAAGATATGTTGGACTTATATTGGAAGTTTCTGCAGAAGAAGCTATTGGTTAAGTGTTTACGAAAAAAGAGAAATAATGTATTTGTTTGGCCAATTTCTGAAGATATACAGTGTGTCACTATATATACTATACTTCCAAAACCCACTGAGGGAAGACGAAATGAAAAGATCTTTTCAGTGAAGTTTGATGTTTATTAACTTTTTTTATTATTTTGTCCTTTTTGTTACAAAACAAAGATGTTTTTTAGTTTTGTGTACTTGGGTATAAATATTTTGTTTCTTATTTATAGAGCAAATACTTATTTTGTTAGAAAACAGATACAGATGTTTTTTAGTTTTATATGTACATACTCTTATACATAGACATTATTTTGTTCCTTATTTGTAGTGAAAATACTTATTTTGTTATAAGACACAGATTTTTTTAGTTTCATGCACAAATTAGGGCTAATTTTTTTATAAAACATTAAAGTTTTCTTTTCAAATATTTTTTTTAATTTCACATTTAAACCATTAAAATAGGTCGCAATTAAAACTACCAAGCTTTATGGATATAAATGTTAATTTTGGTGGTGTCATAATTAAAACCAAAAAGTGTCACAAATAGAATTTTGTAGGGTAATTGTGACACTGTTTAAGAAAAACGAAATTCCAAAAAATGTATACATATTTTCCAATGAAAGCGTTATGTGTATTGAATAAGTAAGTAAGATGATTGGTTAGACGCAGAAATTTAGGCCGGTTTATTACTTTTAACAAATTTACAAGTTTTTTCTGAAAAAAGAAGAAATCTATGTCACAAATACCTGAATGCACTGTAAACTTTAAAAAGCAATCTATCTATACATTGATTTAAGAAAAGAAGTTTATATGTTTTTTTTTTCGAAATTGTTTACATAAAGTAATTCATTTCGACAATTGCTAGGATTACAAAAAAAGGTCACTTTATATGCAAAAATGTCCGCTACTACGAATCAAATTACAACTTTATAGGTCTTTTCCTTTGCATTGAAAGTGTAGCACTGGGCTACACCAATTCTGAAAATATCGTTCCATATATTCAAATTGTATGGATGGAACGATATTTTCAGAAGTGACGTAGCTCAGTGCTACACTTTCGATGCAAAGGAAAAGACCTATTATGTCAACCAACTACTTAACTGGTTTTTAGAACCAAACATTCCGAAATATGAAAAAGTTGAGCACTGATAAAAAAACTTTGTGTTTAGCAAATTATTGGCAGAAGGTTTGGTCTACTGTATACTAAATACGAGGCTTTATATTTATTTTGTTTAACATTGCTGCAAATTAAAATTCTAAAGAACACTATAAATTCAGTTAAAAGTAAATTTATTTAATTCATATTAGAACAAGTATTACTAAGGTAAGTCTTGTTTTAGTCCAATGAATATGTGATATAATTTAATACCTATCTTCATGTAACCCACATATAAACAATGCCTTTTAATACCGGAAGGTGTAATAAGGGTCATTAATTTTTTTATTAAAGTTTTCTATACAATTACCTGTAACCAAGAGTCCATCCAAATTTCCTTCACTGCATAGTTCTTCAGCTAACTTTTTCATATAATCCAATAACTTTTCATCTGGTAGATACAGAGAAGCTAATGCTACTCTGTCATCTACAGCTATTCCTTTCTCGTTCTAAAAGTACAATGTATAAATGTTATAATTTTCAAATAAAATCAACATTGATTGATTAATTCAAAGAAATCTAAATAATACCAGTAGAAATACTCAAACAAAAAATGATTGAAACGCATTCTTAAATATAAATAAATAAAAATTAACATGAATAAATGGAAGACATTATATATACATACCAACACATCGTCATAATTATAATCAAGAGCTGTCAAAAAACTGAACATGGCCTTCAAGTATGGGTCACTAAGTTTATTGATACAAATCGAACAATTTTGCCTCCACATACTGTTAGGTTCGTCAGAAAAACCTGATAAAGCCATAGCTACGACGTTCAAAGTGGATCCATAATCAGTATCGTTGGGGGCTCTATTTAAAATTTCGATTGCCAATTGCAATTTCAGGTTAAATACAGCTATAGTAGCTGCCCGTGTGTAAGCTTTGGCCGTTTCCAGATGATCTATGAAATCAATCAAATATTGCGAGTCTCTTTCCAAAGGCCAGCTGCAAAGTCTCAGTGCTTTGTCCCTATCTTCATGCCTACAATATAAAATAAATAAAGCGTTTGTTTTCACAGAGTGTTAATGTATGTGATGAATAATAGTAGGTCCTAAAACCATGCCTTGTGGTATCTCCATTTGAAAAGTTGAGTATTACTATATATAAAAATAAAAACAAAGGAAAAAATAAAACTCAGAGTCTGCTTCACATAAACGTCGAACGACAGTTTCCCTCCTACTCCTTTGGCTTATACTTCAACAGGCATTGCATTATATCAAATGTACAGTAACGATTGATTAAATTAAAAATAGTTCATGTATTTAAAAAGTTTATTTATAATTTATTTACACTACATACTAATTAATTTATTTAATACTTAGGTAAGCATTATTATAATTTACACCTCTAATTTATTTTACAATTATTCTTTACTTGACAACATTTATATTGAAACTTAACTTCTATCGACAAATTAGCGCTAATTATATAAAAATGTAACAACCAAAAAAAGCCGAACCTGGGTAGAAGAATTTCAAAGCGTTCGTGATTTCCTTCCTCCACGCATACAACAACATTCTAGCCAATTCTCGATCATGAGTCTGATATCGATGGCCAAAGCCAGACTCTACGGCGCAGTAGAGATAAATAGAGAACAGGGTCGGTTTCAGGCGAATGCACAATAATTATTTTCAACTCTAACTTTGATTTTGTTTCCTAAGGAGAACATAATTTCTTCCTTATTAAGATTCATCAGCACGAAATAGTCATTCTCGATTCTAATATTTAATGGAACCTGTAGATGGGTTACACTTCCTCTTTGATGGTGGTTGGGTGAGTATGAGAAGTTACAAAGTAACACCATTTACAGTTAGGAAGAAAAATCAAAGCTAGCTGTGTTGCCTAGTTCATAAAACAAGGTGGCATAAAAACCAGACATGGCAATTATCAAAGGAAATTCAAATTCTCTCAATTTCCTTTAGGACTAAATTATCACTTGTGTTTCAATTAATTTGCACAATACTCTAGTATCTACGATTACGATTACTAACAAATCAGAGGAAAACTGGCAAATATATAAATGTAATAGGAATAAAGTGAATGTAATTTAACATGAAAAAAGCAAATACTTTGAAACTAAAATAGATTTAAACAAGGGTAACCCTACTGAGATGTGGAAAACTTTGAAAACTTTCATTCGAACAGCTAGTATCGCAAGCAGTTTTACTAATTCGACAATATTTGTGACAATCGTCAGGATTTTACTTTTCCGAATGCTTTTAATTACTCTGTAAAGAGTACTGAACAAATATCTGAGCTTGACAAGGGGGGTAGCCATGTGCGAGTTGAGGTAATTTTAAGGTGAAGGGGGAGAAAAAGTCCTTTATATCTCACAAGGAAAGTCAATGTTTAATTATTTAACAAAACATTGAGTGCGACCGGTTTCGAAGTGTCATCACTTCATCTTCAGGCTCGCCTAGTGGAATGGAGAATATGTAGTGTAAGGTGTGTTAACTTGGAGCAAACGATATATAAAATAGTAAGAAAGAGAAAACTCACCATACTCTCCATCCACTAGGGAATACTACAAAACAAGTTTCATCAAATGTGGGGTGAAATAAATTGTAAAATGAACAAAGTTTACAAGTAATAAAAAGTTAAAAATATTTGAAAAAACAAATATTAGTCAATTGAAATAGTAAAAATTTAAAATATTCAAGACCATACAAAACAAATCACATACATTAAACAGATTAAAAGATAAGGCTTATTTTAAACAAACTTGTTGTTTTTTCAAAAAACTAACATTTTTGAAAGGAGACCTGTCAAGTTAAGGCCTCTACAGGTGGTGGCAAGTATTAACAAAAAAATTCTTGGGTACCCTGTCAAAAATGTACACAAAATTCAGTGTTTTTTAAAGGTGTACAGGCTTTTAATAATTTGCCTGAAAATGTTCTTCAAATGCAGGAATATTTAAAAGAAAACTGCGTGAGTTTTCTTTCTTGTTCTTTTATTGTTTTGTATAGTTGACATGTAAGTGTACTGTATCTTATGTATTTTTAAATGTATGTTGATTCTATACTTATGTATTTTTTATATTTTAAATGTGAAGATGTATTGACATGTAAAAAATAGTTTTTTTTTACTAAATAAACGATTTTATATCTACAGACACCGATATTAAAATTTACGTATTAATCAAACAGAAATATGAAACTTGTTGGCAGCTACCTTTGTTGTCCTTTCGAAAATTTAATACCCCAATGACATTTAGAAGAAAATAACATTCTTTTCGGAAACACCCTGTTAAAATTTGCAAATGGGCCTAGCCATCTGCAATCGTGTATGTAAATAAGTAAATAAAAAATTATGAAGCTTTATGTTAAAAGTCAATTTGAAATTTGAGACTGAATATAATTAAAACAGACCACATAGTTTATCTTTTTTTACTATTCATGATTTGGTCAAAAACATTAAGAAATTTGAGCTTGTTTGAGATAAGAATTATGATGGAATGAATAAAAATATATCAATTTCATTTAGTACGCTGCAAGTGTAATAATTTGTTGTGAATTTATAATCAATAATATTAAGGTAAGTACATTTATTTATTTTTTTTTTGTATTTATTACTCATTTTAAATTAGATGAAATGTTATTAATTTGTAAATCCAGACTCAGATTTTAATTTAAAAGCAAAACTGGTTCTAAACATTTTGTTAATTAGTGAGTATTACACACAAACATGAAAATTGAATTTTGGATAGGTTAATTTTGAATTACTTTAAGAAAAAGTTACTTTTTGTCAATTCTGTGATAAATTCTATATTCAGTGTAGATTAAAGTTACTAAAAACTATTGATATAACAAAAAACAATACTTCAGCATTTATTGTATTTTTTATGCAATTTATCTAGATCTAGAGTGTCTACGTAAGTAGGCGGAATATGGAAAAAAAAAAATGTTTCTACGATCACTATCCAAAGTAGGCTTTTGCGCTTCGAAATCCAATCGCAAAGTTGACGTTTTCCGCGAACTGACATTAAGTGACAGCTTTGTCGCTCGCCGAGGTTTGTCAAAAAATATACTTTGGCTAAAGAGAAAAATACCTTTATTTTTGACAAACCTCATATATGACTAATAAAATTTGATTTCAGATACTATGCATAACCTTTTTTGGAAAATTACCTTTTTTATTATTAAATTTAGGAAAAAAATATTCTTCATAAAATGTGCATGGTCTAACACCTAAAATATATTGTCTGTATATTTTTTTACAATTTTGACCAATAAAGCCTAAAAAACAAGTATGATATTATCACTGAAATGAGGGTTAAACATGGTATCATAATAACAAAAAGAAAACATGGAAAACAAATTGAATAATTAATGTTAAGGGTGGTTTCTAGGGGATGGTTTGAGTTCAGGGTAGGAATAACTCATGACAATTATATTTTTTTTTAAAATCGGACTTTTCTTTAATGATTTACACCGTTTAAAAAAGTTTTGTGAATAGAGATGTTAAATATTTCATAAGTTACTCGAAATAAAAATGTAAAAAAAATGGGTTGAAAATAAGTTTCAAATAACTCTAATAAGGAGTTTGTCTTTTTATATATTTAAAATTGATACACCCTCAATTGGACAATAACAACAATTTTTATTTTTTAGTTTTCAAAATGAACACAACCCCAAATAAGACGACAGTTGAAGATATATTAGCAAACGTGAATAAATTTGATCGAGATATGAAATGGACTTACACTGTACTGGGTTACTTACAATACTTTACCAGTACCATACAGCTTGCTATTGGCATTCTAGTTATATTTGCAAATATTTTTTTGATAATAGTTTTTTGCAAGAATCCGAAGTTGAGAACAAATACTAATAAACTTATTCTCCATTATGCGATTTGGCATCTAATTTGCACAACTTTTGCTAGTGCCTTTGTTCATTTTATGAAAATCATTTCTTTTACGAATCAGATTCCAATGCTTGTATTTTATATAGTTTTTGAAATTGATAAATTAAGTTTATTACTAACCTATTTATTTGCAATGGGATTAGCAGTAGATTGGTTATTTACAATTTATAATTTTAAGTTACAACAGAGATTTAATATGGTTTATAAATATCTTATATTCATTATTTACTTATTTAGTTTTGTCTATTTTGTAGTACAATTCGCACTTTTATTAACTAATTTTTGGTTTTTTAGGCGCATAATTAATGAGGTTTTATATTTCTCTATTTTACTATTTTTGATTTTTATCAATTATTTATTTTACAAAAATAAATCTTATGAAGATAATTATAAGTCTTATGCTCTGAGTATCGCAAATATTATTATCTTTTTCTGGTTGCCACTAAAAATTTATCGATATTTATTAAATTATTCACATGGATACTACATTTTACATTCTGTATTTGTGCTTACTGCTTGGATACCAGAATGGTTTTATTACAGCACTAATATAGTTATAGTTATAATGTTAAGAAAATTAGATACCCAATTTGGAAACGCTTATTCTTTAACATTTAAAAAGAGAGAAAAAAATTCTAAAGACTTCGTTGAGAACAAGTTATACGAAATCGCCGATGACGATGAAGAATTTGAAGCAAATGAGATGCAGTCCCAAGAAAGTATTTATATCTAAATCAAGATACTTTACTTCGGCTAATGTACCGATGAAGAAATCAAACTCCGGAACACACCATTTTCATATTTTTCTCTTATATCTGATTTCAAGAACTAATTTTGTTTCATAGAAATTGATGTTTTTACATTTATACATTATATATTTAACATGTACAATTCTTAAATTAAAATTTAATACTGAACCATCAACAATTATTTTACCTTCACAAGAACAAATATTTTAAATAAAGAACATGTTATCTGTTTATACTGACTTTTCAAAAGCAATTATAGAGTCAACCATGACATATTAATTGCTAAACTAAGGGGATATGGGTTTGGAGATATTATACTAAATTGAATTGATAGTTCAACTGCAAATCTGAGGCAATTACAGTTTCATCAAGTGTTCAACAGGGATCTTATTTGGGGCCGTTGTTATTCAATTGATTTATTAGTGTCCATCTCTAACAGTAAATATCTCATGTTCTGTTATATATTTTCTTTTTTATTTTTTTCTACTTTCTTAGTTTGTATCATATTAAGTTTATAATTCATTTTAATGTGGTCAATTGTTTTATATTTATTATGTAATAACGTTACCTACCTAGATTTATTTGATAGTTTAGATCCCCTAATCACTCAAACCACACACTTGGTACTCATTGGTGATTACAATATACCTTGTATAAATAACACATTTTTTCAATTTTCTAATAATAATGATATATACAATGTCTTTGTTAATGGCTAGTTACAATCTACAGTCTTACAACAATTGTCTTAACGAGGATCAGAAAACTCTAGATTTGGTGCTTGGGAATATGAATTTGAATATAGAGGAGGAATTAGAACCTTTAGTTTCCATAGACAAAAAACATCCCTCTCTGATAAAACAGAAGTTAAAAAAAGTAACAAACTCACATACACAAACAATAATCTTGAAAACCGGTATAATTTTAAAAACGCTGATTTCAGATTACTAAGGGATTTCGATTGGTCAAAAATTGGACACTTCGAAAAGGTTGATGATTCTGTCAAATATTTTTACCAGGTTTTTTTATAAAATGCTTGACATATGTGTACCAAAGTTTACTAATAGACTCTAACCATGTCGCACACACTTTCCGCCATGGTTCACGGAAGAAATAAAAATTGACATAAAGTTTAAAGAATTTTTCAGAAAAAGAAAATATCGATCGGAATATTACTTCAGTTAATTAAAAAAAAAAAAAATAGGGCAGACCTCAAATTTAAAATAAGGACAGCACACAATAATTATATACAAAACATGAAGAACTGTAAATCGGGACCCCATGCTTTTTTTGGAAATTTATTAAAGATAAGAGGTCCAACAATGTGTCCGAATCAAGTTTTATTATAAATAAAAGGGAAATATCTGACAAAAAAATATGACAATGATTCAAACTACTTTTAGATATCAACGACTTGACTAACAAATGGAACGTAAAGGTTTGTTCCAACAACGATCTTGGAACAATACATAAATCAGTCCAAAACTTATTGGTGACAATCTGTCGACGACTAGTAATTGACAACCTGTCAGGTACTGGTCGGGGATTGGGGCTCAAATCGGAACTCGATTATGTTGGAACACATTTTTTAAATTCAACAGACATACTATTACAATAATAAACCACAAAATAAAATAAATGACAATGAATAAAAACTATGAAGATTAAATTCGATTAACAAATACAAATCAGAACTGTCAGAGACAATAGATACAAATAATATAATTACATTCACGAAATGTTCAGTTTATTGCGTCTTGGCGCATGCCTTGACAATTCGTTCCTATTCAGACCCAGGAACTGATTTGACAGTACACAAATCGGTTTGTGATTAGTTTTGGTTGTGTTGGAACACTATGTTTTTGTACAGTTTTGAGTCTATGGTTTGTTGGAACACGAATTCTAGACTGCGCAGAATCCCGACAGTACGCAAACTGATTTGGTTTATGTTGGAATAAACCTTAAATTTCTATCAAAATAGAGGCTTTGATCAAATATCTGTTAAAGACTTAGAAGCAGCATTTTGTAAGTTAAAACCGAAAAAGACAGCGGGCCCTGATAACATTTCTTAAAAGCTTGTAAGGACTACATAATATACCCTTTGCTGGTAATCTACAATAAGTCTCTTAAAACATCCACATTTTCTAGTGAATTTGAGAGAACTAGATTTTAAAAAGGGCGATAAAAATTAAATAGATAATTATCGTCCCATAGCCATATTAAATTGTACAGCGAAACTGTTTGAATTTGTAATATGTGATAAACTATATGCCCACTTTCAAAAATACATATCAACTGAACAGCACGGATTTTGTCGTAAAATCTGTAGATACAAATTTATTAACTTTCAACAATAAAATATCAAAATGTGTTAATTCCCGTGAACAAGTCGATTATATTTATACTGATTTCATAAAGCCTTTGATAAGGTAAATCACAATATTCTAGCTAAATTGAAATATTATGGTCTTAGCGATCACCTAATAAAATTATTATCGTCTTATCTAAAGCTGAGGTCTCAATACGTAATGTTTGGTATAAAGTGAAGTATCTCATATAATCCTTGCAGGCTCTGGTGCCCCTTAGGGCTCCAATTTAGGCCCTCTACTTTTTTTTAATATTTTTCAATGATCTCCCTCTACGTATTACATCAGACTGCCTGATGTATGCAGATGATCTAAAAGTTTTTTAAAAAATCTCCACCCTTAATGATTATCTAGACCTTCAAAATGATTTAGACTCAATTTCGGATTGGTCATTAGAAAATAAATTAATTTTTAATCTTTCCAAATGCTAGATAATTACATTCAGCAAACTTCGGAATACTCAAAATTTTATCTACACAATGCAAGGATCAGCACTAGAGAGAGTATCAAAAATGACCGATTTGGGAATAGTTTTCAAAATAACTTCAAATTTGATGAGCATATCCATAATATTATCAAAGAAGCTAAAAGATTATTAGGATTTCTGAAACGTGCGACTGGGGACTTTACAGACACATACTCAATTACAATTTAATTTTTTTTCTCTCGTTCGTAGTAAATTAGATTATGCATCCACTGTATGGGACCCCACGCAACAAAATTTAAAACAAATTTTGGAAAGCATTCAAAATAAATTTATTAAATACTTATATTTCAAAAAGTATCATACGAGTCCAGGCTTTGTCTCATTTGAACCTAGTAGAAAAATTGGACCATAGGCGCTCTATAATTAACCTCGTATTTCTACATAAATTATTAAATGGATATATAGTCAATATTTATTGAGTCAAATAAAAATCAATGTTCCAGTGGCAGGTATTCGCCCCCGTCAATTAACTTTTCGTGCGAATAATCATGGTCCATTAGAAAAAATTTGTCAATTATTTAACTTACATTTCGAAGATATCTCTTGCAGTATTTTTTGTGTAACTATAAGCACATACAGAAGTTAACTTAAAAATTATTAAAGTAACATGATTTTGTAGGATATTCGTGACTTTCATGTGGGGTTTGCTAGCGCTTTAATTTAGCATCTCTAGTTATTTTAGCATTTTTCTTTAAACTTTGACAAAAACATTTTAGTAGTGATGTTTGTTTAATATAAACAAAATTAAGTGTATTAATTATATATTGTGTATTTTTGTTGATTTCTTTTTTTGTTAATGATATTATAGAAACATGTAATTAGGCTAATGCCTGTTTGTTTCTGAAAATAACTAAAATAAATAAATAACTATGTTATGTAACTACAAATACAATTCTGTAAAATCGGTTTGGGCCAGTAAATAAACAAATATAAAGAAATATTTACCTGTAAAACACAATCGAACTTTGACAGTTTGGGTATCCTAAGTCACACCATGCCATTGTTACAATGTCAGATTTATTCTGATTTGGATCAATATTGGATAATACCGATAACACACCAGGATGTTTCTCTTCTGTATCTCTTATCATACCCCCTTCTGCTAATTTAACTGTTAACTGGAGCCAATTCCAAACATTCGCTAAGGACAAGTTATCCTTAACCAATTCAGCATTTTTAGCAAACTCTTCCTAAAAGTGAATAAAATTCTTAAAATATTTAATTAAAATCTTTTTGGCATGCAAATAAAACTCAATATAACAAAAATTCAAACCTGTACTCCATATCGCTTCTTGGCTCTATCTTTTATATGCGAGGAAATGTCATCTACAAAGGCATCATTTATGTATGAAAGAGTTTTCCGACCATGCGACCATACGATAGTCGTAGTAGACCAATTAACAGTTATTCTATCGAAAACTGTATAGTCTTTAATTGAACCTTCAATTAAAATGTTATATTAAATATTGTTACTCTTTGTGATTCAAAGTCTAATCATTGTAATTTTTCCAACACATACAAATATGCTCCACAAATAAAGGAAGAAAAGTGAGTGTAAAACTACAACGGCCATTTGAGGGGCCGTATGTTGAAATTGAGAATGAAGAGAAAAGTTATGCATTAAAGTATGTAGAGGGTGAGGGAATAAACGAAATATCCAATATTTGTATTTATATGAATGTTAAAATTAGTAGTACTTGTATTGTTTAATGTTAGCAATCCAGCAGTTCAAACAATGAAAACATAAAATGTTGAAAAGTTAATTTACATTTGTATTACAATTATATTTTCCAAGAACATGGTGATGCCATAGAAACTAAAAAAAAATGAAATATTTATTAAGCCCATGTCTACATGACAGATTTCTTCATAATTATTTTATAAAGTAAATGTATAAGTAATTACAACACTAAATTATATGTCAGGACCTTAAAAAAAATTAATTACCTGATACAGCTATGGTCAGAAGTCGATTTTCGTCTGTTGCATGCCAAGAAAATGAAGTTATATTATGAGGAGAGCCAGGTGTAACAATTCGTTCCATGACATTAGGTTCAAGTTCGTCAGTACTAACCACTGTCTGCTTGATATCATATAAATTGATGACAGAACTGTCACGCTGAAGTGAAGCGAGAGAACTATATCTACAAAAATGATAACGAAATATAAATGCAAAGGATAGAATTCCAACAAAATGAAATACAAAAAATTGAATGAAGTGAAAGTAGTAATGTATGTACAAAGTGAACTGAAGGTTTTAAAATATTTTAAATTTTGTATTCCAAAAATTTGTTGGATTGTTTCTGTGATGGTAATATTAGGAAACAAAAACTTTTTAATTGTATCTTTATATTCGCTCCGTGCGAAGTCATGGAAAGGGAAGCAAAAGCGATACTAGCGCTAGCTGCGGATAATTCGTGCATTTTAGGGGGATATTTTGTAATTTTGGCATATCAAATACATGTATACATTTTACTTTTTTTCAAAAAAGTAGGTAAAAAGAACACAATAAACAACCGGAGTTACTGTGTTGAAAATTGTACAAATACTAGCAAAAAAAAACAGTGAAACTTATATAACAAATTTCACTAACAAAGTGGAAATTAAATCAAAGAAATAAATTGATAGGTGTACAATAAGAAGAAAAATTACCTTTAGTTTTGTGATAATAACAGTAATGCTGGAAATAGTAGACATCAGAAACTAGAAAGTTTTTAAATAAACAATAAATTATCATTTTACGATGTTCTTTAATATCCCTTTATTCTTAAATGTTCATTCAGCAAGGACTAGATTTCAAGATTTCTGCCGTTGATTATAATATTTGGCTGGTATGCAATTTTGTGACTTACTGATCGGAAACCAGTTTTAATCATTCATTCTATGTTTTCTTTAGAACAAAAATGAAAATATAAGTAGCGATCCTTTTTATACATTTTAACTTCACGCTATTATAAATGGTTTCTTCAATGACAACTTATTAGACTTAGGCAACTTCTCATACATTTTCCACTAAATACTGTTGCCTGCCTATATTTTATTATTGATTTTTAATGATTATACATAATTTTCTTCAATTTAAGCGTGAAAAATATATAATAATAATAAATTAATGTTTTAATTGTTTTATAAATCCATATACTTTTATTAAAACTAACATATATACTTTTTATTTACGAATTCTATTAAAAATTGTATTTGTCAGTATAGGCAGAAATACTCCTTTAATACCAAAACAAATTGGCGCTGCTGTCGCGCACGGAGCGAATAGGTCACCTAGCAGTAGCTGTATAAATTTTTTAGAATGTTTTAGCACTTGGGCTGAAGAAAATTTATGTGATAATTCTCAAATAGTTAGTGTTTCTGGAGATTTTAATATTGACCTGTCAACTAAAAACACAGTGCGAAATTAAATGATATTTTGATTGATACTGGATTAAAAAATATTGTTACAGAATGCACAAGACCAAATAGAAGTGGTGGAGGTACACCAATAGATTTAGTTATAACAAATAATGACTCGGTTTCAGCCGAGGTTATCAAAACAACAAGAATTTCAGATCATTTTATGCTTTTAACAAATGTGTTTTTGAAATTGAAAGCAGAGGTAAGGACTTAAATTTTGATTTAATTAATAACAAACTTTCAACATTAGCATGGAACTATCATATTTATGACATTAATGCAAAATATAATTTTGTAACAAATATTTTAAACGTATTAGATTCTGTAGCGCCAAAAAACAAATAAAAATATTTTCTAAATACAAAAAATGGTGGAATGAAAATGTAAAAGCTGCCACAAGGTACAGAGACCTTGCATATAAAAATTATTCACAAGAAAAAACAGAAAATAATTGTAATGAATACAAAATGCATAGAAATAGGGCCGTTAACATAATTAGAATAGAAAAAAGTAAACACATAGAGAAAAATATTTACGAAAGTAGGGGAAATTCAAAGAAAATGTGGAAATATCTTGAATATCTGATTCCAAAAAACAATAAGTCGAATAACTTAATTAAACTTGAACTAGAAAATAATGTTATTATAAAAAATATTTTTGACATGCCAAATGCTCTTAATAAATTTTACATAGACAGTATCCAATCGATTGCTAGTATGATTGAACATACAATACCAGATTTTCAAATTTTAGACAGACACAATGGACATTTTCTTGGAAAATTTCAACTATGTACGGCGGATTCTTTAAGAGACATTCTTTTCGCAATGAAAAATAAAAGTAGCACAGATGACATTAACATTAATATTTTAAAAAAATGTTTTCACAACCTCTCAGAATCACTTTTAAATTTGATTAATTCGGCATTAGAAATTTCAAAAATACCTAATGCTCTAAAAATTGCTATGGTAGTGCCTGTTCCAAAGACAAAAAACGCAAATAAAGCTACAGATTTTGGGCCTATTAGTTTGTTAAGTTGTATCGAAAAAATCATTGAGAAGGTCGTTTATGAACAAATTGTTAATTTTTTAGAACAAAATAAACTTATTACTATAATACAATCGGGCTTCAGAAGCAAACATAACTGTGAATCAGCTATTCAGTGTGTTTTATATGATTGGAAATACAAATTTGATAAACACTTTTTAACATTGGCAGTTTTTATAGATCTTCAAAGGGCATTCGAGATTGTTGATCAAAACCGTTTGATAAAAAAATTGAAAAGTATAGGTACAGTAGAGCAAGCATTGGAGTGGTGTGTGGATTATCTAAGAGAAAACAAAAGTTAAAAGTAAATAACATTTTGTCAGAAGAAATTAACTATATCAGAGGTGTTCCGCAGGGAAGTATATTGGTCCCCTGTTGTTTTTAGTGTATATCAATGACATTGTTGATTTCAAGGGTCAATGTGACATTCACCTGTTTGCTGATGATGCCCTAATATATTTTTCTTGTAAGGATTCAGATAACTTGGTAAGAGTTGTTAATGAAACACTGCAACATGTTTATAAATGGTGTAGCAATAATTTGTTGAAAATTAACACAAATAAAATAAAATGTATGCTGATAAGTAGCAACTATAACTATACACAGTTTGTTGCTAAACAATATAACAACAATTGGAGGAAATTCTATACAGTTAGTAGAAAAATTCAAATACTTAGGGGTAATGATTGACAAGCAGATGAGATTCATAGATCATGCCAACACTGTTATCAAAACTATTGCATTTAAGTTAAATTTCCTATTTAGAAGTTCATTTGGCTTATCACAGTGGACTAAATGTATTATATAATATAATACTATAATTCTACCTCACTTTAATTATTGCTCTACAATACTCTTTTTACTGAATCAAAATGAGTTGAACCGACTACAGAAGCTGCAGAATAGGGCTATGCGAATAATATTAGCCTGTTCAAAATATACTTCCATTAATCTAATGCTTGAAACTTTGAGGTGGATGCCAATCAAAAGTCTCTTATTACGGAATGCGTTAATTTTTATTTATAAAATCAAACAAGGGTTACTTCCAATGTACCTAAAAGAGAAGCCTAATTATCACTCTAATGTGCATAATTATCCAACGTGGAACAGAAATAACTTTTATATTGAAACAGTTGTTAAGAGTGCAACACAAAATTCACTTTTTTAAAGGTCTAAATCAATATAACGCACTTCCAGAGAAAATTAAATCAGTAACGTCTGTAACTACATTTAAAGTCAAAGCGACAGTTTTCTTAATTGATGAATATTTCTCCAGAAACAGTAACAACCTATAGAATTTTAGTTAGTTTTAATTGTATCTAAATTATCTATGTTTTGACTTATATGTATATGTATATTTTTACTAAATTTGTATATTGTGATATTAGCAAACTAGCTAAATAAAGGAAATAATAATAAATAAATAACAAAACAAAAAATGAAATACCAAATAAAAACTTACTTAGTTGGACACCATTCGATTTTAACAACGGGTTTGTTTTGAGGTATAAAAACAATGGGTTTTTCAAAATTCCTCATATCCCAAAGACATATTTGATTGTCATAAAAAGAAGCCAAGTGTGTATCATCATTTGGATTTGTGCATACATTAAAAACGCCCTTGGTAGATGTTGAATTTACCATTTTATTAGGATCTAAAAACCAACACAATTCGAATCAAAAACCTCATTGAAAATCTGTGATATGTTGCACCATCTGAACTTCTTCATTGCTTTTTCTTGTTAGACTTATAAACTGTCAGATGAGGAAGATTTAGGTGCTCCATTTTCACATACAAGCCTCGATGAGGATTGAAAAGTATATCAATGTTCAGTAGAATGAAAGGAAATTTACGAGTGCCTCTTGGGGATAACACATAAAATTCGATTTCCCTCAACAGAAATATGTGTGGAAAAATCGGTAATTATATCGATTTTTCCTTGCAAGAATACGCCCTTATTTCAACCCTTTAGTCACTTGCAACATTAAAGCCTTTTCTAGCCTAGTTCTATTAGTTAATCATTTAGTGAACTCGGCTTGCATTAAAATATGGGCAACAAATACCTTTAATTTCTGTTAAGGAAAATGAATTTTCCATCTTATCCCCAGGAGCCACTCGTAAATTTCCTTTTATTCTACTCAAAATCGATGTACTTTTCAACCCTCTTCGAGGCTTGTATGTGAAAATAGGCACTGAAACCTATCATTTCACTATCTGAAGGTCTATTAGCTTTCTCAATATCTTAGTAGCATAATTAAATTTAATACTTTAGTATTAGAGTTTAAGTTAATTCATTTGCATAACAATATTATTAAAAATAAATAAAAATATATAAAACTCTCTATACTTGAAAATACAACCAAGCATAAAATAAATCTCTTTTTTACCACAAATATAAAAAAATGAGTTTATTTGCCACATGCTTTTGTGTATAACTAAGTGTTGTAGGAATTTAGATTAAACTCTAATAATTAATAAATCAAAATGTTAAAAAAAAATATCTTAAAAAAATGTTATTGGCACTAAAATTAATTTAAGCACGTTATTAGAACAAAAACATTAAAGTCATACCTCTTAAATCAAAGATCTTAATATTCTTCCCATTCATTCCTGAGGCCAACAGTTTACTTGAGCCATAAAACCAGGCTAAACTATAAGTTACCTCCGACGGTGCAAATTCTGCTATTGGCTTTACCAACTCAACTGCAGGTGCCATGGTGTTTACAGCCATTCTACCTGAATGGCTTGCTTCATTATTGCTATTAAATTTATTAATATCCCATATAAGAATGGAGTTATCAGATCTGTATTTATCAAGTCCAGCAGCAATTAAGTTATGTTCAGTTGGGTTGAACTGTACTGCATTGCAGTGACGGCTATGTCTAGGCACTAAAATCAGTAATAATTCAATACAACTATCGTTAGGTTTATTTAATCTTCTAAACAATATACAGGGTTGGGCATAATTTTGTGCAACACCAGATATCTAGCTTTGTTGGACAAGTAAACAAAACCACTACCAACTATGTACAAAATGGAACTCTTACAAAAATACTTAGGGTTGTGAATGATTACAATGCTGACAAGAAATATTTGATTCATCTTTAATGTCTTTTAAGCACCAAATTAGAAACTTAGGTACATGTATTTATTTATTTTCTTCAAGCTTTTAGTATCCTTTTATTATTTTCTTTATTAATTATTGTAATATCTGTTTGATATCTATATTATCTATTTTAACGTTTTCATGCATATTGTATTCTTTTTTGTAAAATGGTATATCCCTTAAAAATAAATATAGAAAATTAAAAGACAGAAAAAATGTTTACATATACCTGTAAATTATGCCACATGTTTTTTTTTATTAAGTTCACTTGTATATTTCTTAACCAGCAAACATACTATTACTAAAATATAAATACAAACCAATGTTAAGATATTGGGCAATATGAATAAAAACGAGCATTTGCTTATACTTGTGAAATTAAAAGTAAATGCTTCAAAGGGTATGAATAAAATTGTAAGTAAATCCTTTTATTTTGTATTTTCTTCCTTTTTTTAAGCGATGAATATGAACAAAGCCAAGCATATGCTTACAACTGCGAGCATTTACTTGCGGAAAAGTGTTGCTGGTATTCAGTAGCATCAGAGCTGTTCTCATTAGAAGTTTCGCGAATTCAACGTGGAACCCCCAAGTAACAATTTGATATTTTATAAAAGCTGAAAAATTGTTTAAAGATCAAAATTTATAAAACAGAATATTCCGGAACATTCTTTCAACGGTAATAAACACAAAATGAGCGCAGTATTACAGAACTATTTGGTTCATTTGTAAATTTTATAAGATTTGTTGAATGTAGTTACCAGACAGTTACTACACATTTACACAGACCTTAAAAAAATGTTTTTAAGTAACATTTTAGTTTTTTAAATGTATCTTGTGAAAACAAATTAATTTTAGATTTGTCATAAAAGATAAATTCAAAGCGATAATAGTAAAATGTAAGAGTAAGAGATATCTATACCCTGGTTTAGACAAAATATATGACCCACAATAAAATTGTTTTTGGATGCGCAGTAAGAAGTACTCCTAATTATATAGCATATACAATACTAAATTTTTAAGCGTCTCGAGTTTATTTCATATTTCTAATATTTTTCCAGTGTGACACAAAAATTAAATTTATGCAATTCGATTTTTTTATTATCAATAATATTTTGCTAATATTACTATTGATAAAAATCTTTAATTAACATTGGTTTTATCCTATAAACTAGTAAAACCGACAGTAGATTTAGTTTTTCGAGAACTGACTTAGATTTTTGTTAAATGAGGCGGCAATTCAAAGGTATTAGAAACTTATTTTAAGACAGAATCATATTTATAAAATATTATTGTAATAAAAACAACTGTGATACAATAAATAATTAAGCTGTATCAGTCATTCCTACAAAACAAGTTTACCATGGTTTGTTCTATCTTAGTTTCAAATGTATGTATGATTTAAAATATAACATAACCAGTAGCGTAATCACGGGGGGTTTTGGGGTCAGAACCCCCCCCCCCCATGGAGGCCTTCGCGTAATCGTTTCCGCTATCTTATTGGCGCTGATCGCTGTTTGTTAACCCTCCCCCATAGTACTCAGAAACCCCTCCCATGAAAAATTTCTGGCTACGCCACTGAACATAACCTTACTAAATCATTTGCAATTTAAGTATTTGAGAATTGAAATGATTAGATTTGTTTCTAAAGCTTTATAGAGCAAACATAATTTATAATACTGCTAAAATAAGCAAGTTATGTTAAACTTGCGATGTAAATGTTAGGACATCGCCAAAAATATGGCTTTTTGTTAGTATTGGGGCATGATTATTCAGAACATAATTATTATCTGGCTGAATGATACTTTTTTTTATTGTCTAGACAAAACATCAAAATGTTTTACTATTTTTTACTATTCTCTGAAAAGCAGAAACCACTTATTTTTTATATATCTTCACTTATTTAAATCTGACATTTTCAAACCATACACTCACATACAAATGTAGTTGAACAAACATAAAAAACAAAATAATATGGTGTAGGTACTACCAAATGTAGTTGCTTTAATTTTTTTTTTAGAAATATTTTTAATGGGATACTATTCTTGAGTAAAATTATTGATTTATAATAGCTCTACCTATATAGTTTTCTGATTTGCAGAAGTGTATTTCTACACATTTTATTTTAGAGTTTTCATCAGAAGCAAATTGCTATTGACGTGGAATTATCTCACACTAATAATTATATAACTATTTTTTAAAGCGTTATTATGAGGTTGAAGAAACAGTTGTATTTGTATAACCAAAGAGTCATAAAGGTGATCCAAAGCCACAATATAAAATCACTATAAAGCAATTTTATTAGCTGAAATGTTGTATAGAATAGTTATATATTTATGTAACAATTTTATAGTTATCCTGAAAACTATTTTATAATTTTGCTGTAAGAATATTGTAAAAAATTATTTATTTAACAAATTAGTATCAGAGAATAAAATAGTGATTTCTGCAATTTTGGTACAACAAATTAGCATTCCAGAAACAGCAATATAATATCAATAAAATATAATAATCTTATAAACTAAAAATTAAAAAGCTACTTTGTTAGTTGGCAGCCTTCCTGTGTTTACACGGTTATGTGGTTGCAAGTAAAACACTACAAAAAACGGCGTACACCATGAACTAATGATTTTAAGAGTATGTTCCGCTTTGAACAGGAAAATGTAGAGTGGTTAGCTCAAAACTTTCTAGGCGGAGTGTAGAACGGCGTGGTAGTGCATTATCACCTGTCCATAGAATGAAAATCTGAATATTTGGCAAATCCAGATTTTCAAAACAGAATTGGTGAAGAGCTAGGCATTGATCAGTCCACTGTTTCTTTCACAGTTCGAATGGTGTTAACAAACATAATTCAAGAGGCAAGTTGTTGGATTCAGTTTCTGAAAGGTCACCGTGTCATAATGGAAGCTAAAGAACTGTGGGCAAGTCAGTTTAGATTTTCGACTGCTATTGGAGCACTGGATTGTTCACACGTGAAGATAGAGAAACCTAAAGCACACGGGGACGACTATATTAACTGCAAAGGGGAAGCAACTTTGAACTTGCACATGTGTGTAAAGTGCAAATCTAAACACGCAAAATTTTGTTATATATTTATATTTCGAATGCAAACACTGGCAAATTCACTATTTAAGCTAATAAACTCCAATATTTTAGATTTAAAAGTTTTTGCTCATTTTCAAGTATAAGGTAATCGTTATTTATATTGAATGAAGCTATTGCCTTTACTCCTACCTTTTGCTCTAAGCATTTGCTTTTCCTTCTGTCTTATGCTTATGATCATTTACTTTATTTTTATTCATATGGCCCATTTATGTCTTGGGAAACAAAGGCTTACAGAAGTTCTCCACACTAACTTTAAATATAAATCTCACAGCTGTCTTTTGTAGGACAAAAATTCTATGAAACAGTTCCTGAACATAATATTCCATATTATGGGATTCAATGACAGAGAAATATACGTATATAAAAAAATGCACATCTTATAAAGTGACACAGAATTTTGTTTGTACCTTGTCCAATAAAGCCAAAAATATGATCTTTCACCATTTATGGCCAACCCTATAGGTTTATTTATATGGTATATACCATAAAACATTAAACAGTTCATTAAAAGTTTAAAGGAACTTATATATTACATAAATAAAATTTCCTCAAGCTCCAAAATTTTAAAATTATTTTGAATATTTCAGAGTTCAAAACTATTGTCATTGTTTAGAATTTTGTAATGCTCTTATGTTCATTCTAAAAAAATGGGATGCACTAGATCCAAGATCAATGAAAATTTCATTTTTTGACTACCTATTCTTTAAATATGTTTATTCCTCGGTTTATTCCTTTCAAACTTAAACATGCTTATTTTTAAATATATAACATTAAATATATTTAAAATTACTGTATATTAAGGTAAAATTGACCAAGTTACCATTGCTTGGTTAATATTCACTTTACCTTACTTCAGTGTTACTAAAATATAAATTTACATAACAAATGAATAATCCTTTCTATTCAAAAGTTAATTTTACCTACCTAACTCTTTTCCTGGAAAACCAGTAGCATCATGTTCAGAAGGACCAAAAGTAGTCAAGGCCACTCTTCCATTTGCCAATCCAATGGCTAATAACAAGTCTGTTTCACATTTCGGATAAATATCAATACTTCTCACAAAATGGTGATTTGTATTTGTTGTTAAAACTTGAGCATAATGTGTATCAGATACTTTAAAAGCTAAAAACAAAAATATGTGGGCATTTTTTTTTTAATTATTAAAAAATATTTCTTATACATTTGCTACTGCATTAATAATTGCATTTTATTAATTATCTAAAGTATATTCCAATTACCTGTAGGTGGTAACTCTTCTGTAAGAGGTTGAACTTGATAGAGAGACATTTCTGCACCCCAAGTAATAAACTTGTGTGATATCGGAGACCACTGAATTTCCAATTTCCCAGACATATTGAAAGTACTGAAAATAAGATTTAATTTTTTTTTAATATAAACTTCACAGAATGTTATTTTAAAAATCAGTGTTTACACTTTCCAAACACAGCTAAACAAAACAAACAACAAACCACAGCATGTGAAACAAACACCTAAACAGGGTGTGATGTTTATGTTTATAGTATGTTTGTTTTGGATTTTGGCTAGGTGAGGTGACAATCGACAACTGACAGTAGGTGGTACAATTTTTAGAGATGTTCATTTTTGACATTTTACCTCCATGACTTCTGAACACATCTCATTCTTCGAGCCAATATATGCTCGAAGATCTCATTGAGTGGCTACGGCTACTGAATAAGGTTTAAAAATTATATATAATTAATATCGTTTGTATAATAAAAGTATTACACAAAAAAATTATTTGCCGATATTTTTTTTAAACATCGAAATTTCTCAATTTTAGGGTGCATATAGGTACCTTTACGATTATACATACAGTTTTATTTAATTTAAATACCTACAAGTTATTTTTCCCCCTTTGTAGTAAAGGTTATATTCAAAAATGTATGCCACAAATCCTTTTTCCTCTTGCTATATATTTAAAAAAATTGAGGGGTGACTAGCACATGTAGGGGGAAAAGAGGAGGTAGAATATTTTTCATAAAAAAATCTTGATTGAAATAAAAATTGACCTAGCTTTTTTCACCTTTGTTTCAAATAACGGAATTGTTCGGGAAGCCAGAACTCATAATTCTGAGATAATATATTGTATTTGGACAAAAAAAATACAATGAAATTATATTTTACGAATAATAGACATTTTTTATAAAAATGCTATCATATAATATAATATATAATAAAAAAATGCTTTTATAATAAAATGCTATTAATGCTCCCATATGAAGGATAACTCTACAATTTGTTCTATTTTTACCTTATACGATCTATCAATTCTGGAAGTTGAAAAACTACTCTTCTACCCCCTTTCCATTTTCTTCGACCTTTTTTTTTATTCTCTCTTATTTGCTCTCTCGCTAACTGAGATTCCGGGCAATCAAAAGGGCAATCTTCAGACATTTTTTAATAATTTAAAAAACACAAAACGTACACTTTACACAAACACTTTAAAATTCTAGTCAAACTCTCCACACGAACAATAAATATACAATATTATTAAAGAACTTGATCAATGCTAAAGTAGGTATATATAAATCGGTGAAAACTTTTTTCAAAGAAACAAAAAAATGTATACAAAAACTAAACGATGATAATATTGATAATGAATAGATTAGAAATTAGAAGAATAATAAAACGATAAAATTAGGTATAGGTATTTAATTTGTTTAACGATTGTTTTGAAATCCTTATAGTGCTTCTCTAGGTATAATTTTTGAAAAATACAAATGTATTATTATATTCCTTATTTGTTAATTTTAAAGTTTAGTAGGATATTTATAAATTGTTAACTAATAAAATTGTAATTATGAACATCTGACTTGTATGTAGTTCCCTTGTAGAGTACGCTTTAAAATAATAATAATTTTAAATTTAAATGTTTTGTTTGAGGTTTATTGAATAATAACATGACACATAATGTAAGTACATACGCATTTTTTATTTTATTATTGTCTGTAAGTACAAACATTTATTTCTTTGGTAAAATAAGGAAGTATAATTATAAATATTTAAATTTTTAACAGAAATATTTTATTGTTGGTAGATAGGTATACATATAAAAATGTATACCTATCTATATAATGATGGAAACTGTTAGTAATATAGTTATTTATATTTAAAAATAATTTTTAAAGATATTTTTAACATGATTCTCACCTGAATTATAAATAAATATTCTGAGAATTGAAATTACTTTCCAATTAAATTCAAGAAAACTTTTTATGTTAACACAAAAATATGCCTAATCAACACGTAAAACATCATATGTCATTATTGTCAATAGTCAACACATTTCACATCTGTATCTGTCAATTTTATTCAACTTTATTCAATATTACAATATTTAGCTTATGAATGAATTTTTTATGGTATAAATGTGAAATTAATATTTATAATTAAATAGTACGTGCTCAGTTCGAAGATTTTGTAATGACACCTTTTAATATACAAATTAAATAAATTAAAAATGTTTGCGTCATTAAAGAATAAAATTCGGGAAGAAACAGGGAGTGACTTATCTAAATTAACATCAAAAATAACTTCTTCCACTGTTCAAAAAATTGAATCATTAAGAGGTCGTTCGACTCAAGGTTCCTCTTCCAGTCTCAATTCTATAGTGTCTTCAGAAGGCGTTAGAGAAGATGGCCCCATTGATTCAGAGGAGTTCAAGAAACGATTAAATAAACTCGAATCTGAATTTGCAAGGAAACTTGAATACAAGGAGATAGAATGGCGAGAATTAATTAAGGATAAAGATAAGAGAATACAAACTTTAGAAAGGGAAAAAGAAGAAACTCAAAATCAGATCTCAACATTGAGAGAATCATTGAAAAATGCCGAAGGTATGTAAATATCCCTATTTTGAATTTTTATAATTTAGGGTTACCATACGTACAGCATTTCATTGTATTGTACAGTATTTTCAAAATCTGTTCAGCACTTACTCTTGTACAGCAAAACGCCGAATGTATTGGTCCAGCAAAATTCTGTTTTTGTCCAGCAAAACGCCACTATTGTTCTGCAGTGTAACACATAATTTACTGAAGTGTAACCAATAAGACTTGGGGTACTAAAAAAAGGTCCTCTACATGACATATGACCTGTTTTTTTATTATCTTTGGGAAGTTAAAAAAGGTCCTCACCTCCAAAGTTCATAATGTCGTATTAGTCTTCAGTGTCCAGCATTGGGTAAAAAAAAATATGATCACCCAAGTATACTTTATACCTATATTAAAAATAATATATATCTATAAGTTCAGTGAACTGATTCTAAATCCAGGATTCACAATTTCCAATTGCACATATTAAAAGAAGCAATTTTGTTTGTCCTGTTCTAGTTTTCTGAGTATTAAAAAGAGTTTTTTTGTAATTAAAGTTGCTTTGTCATTTAATCCAAATCTATTTTTTAAAGTTCTTGTTCACAAAAGTTACTAGGTAACATACTTACTCACACCTTTATCCTAATACATATACCAAATTTTCCAATTCAATGAAACATCAATTGTTTGCATAATCAAACATTTGTTTTTAGGAACTACAATTCCAAATCTATAAGTACCTATGTTATGGGGAAACTGTAAGCATACTTGTGTTTAGTGTATTTAAATTAAAAGATACCCATACTGATCTATTACTGTAAAACAGTAAAAAATATAATAACTAGTGCTCATGAGTTACTGATTTTTTTTTTAATTATATCATGCTTGTTGAGCGAACTTTTAGGTCACATTTATTCCTTAAGTTAATTGAATAATTAATAAAAAGAAATACCTTAGTAAATTAGTTATAAAAGCCATGCCAATAATTGTAATTAGTTTTAAGTAGTAATATTATTTATAAACTTTAGACACACAAAAATAAATTAACATGAGGTGTGTAACTCTAACTATGATCAAATTACAGTAGTTAATTTAATATGTTATCTTGTGGAAGTCAGTAATTCAACAAATAATAATAATAATAATAATAATAATAATAATAATAATAATATAGATAATACCGAAACTTAGAAATTTTATTTATAAAATAATTATGAGGAAAAACACTATTTAAAATATATATAGTTTAGTGTTATGTACCACAACACGGTAAATGTAATTTTAAAATTTTTTATTAATATATTGATATAGTATTGATTTTGTACTTGGATAGGTACATTTTTAATTAAGGATTTCAGAATTTACATAATAATCTATAATTTTTTTATCAAGAAAAGCAGTTACTTCTGTAATTTAAAATTACAAAGTTTGGATTTAACCAAGGTACTAAAATTACTAGTTTTTGGTTTTTATTACCCAAATGTTAAATATATAGATATATGTATGGATATTTGTTAAATCAACATAGTTTTTTTAATATTTACCTAAGTATTTATCAAATTATATTTGCTATATAATTCTTTTAAATGAAAAGAGTACAAAAATAAGAAGTTCAATCTATCTCAATTTTGTATTTTGCAATATATAGAAGACTTCTATTTTTTTAAAAGTTTACTTGTTAAAAAAATATTCGATTTTAGGACCCAATTGTAAGGGCTTTTTTTTACACAATTTTGTTTCTTAAACGTGTATGAAGTTGGTAGGTCAAACTTAGTAGACCTTTTCCCAAATACAACTGAACAACCAGTGGCGTCAGTTCAATGAGAATAATCTTTTCAAGCTGATATAAGAAAACTTACTTAATTTGAAATTTTACAGGAAAATATACTATTATAGTCTAAGATCCAAAGTAAGGTCGACCTTCACCCATCTGTTTAATGGATGAAACTTTCTTTTTATTAAACAAAATATGTTTTTAAATACACCGCAAATGGGTTGCCTAAGAAAATTTGGTCCAGACTATTTATTTTCTTAAAGTAAAAAAAAACGACACCCTGTAAAGTATTCCCCAGATGCTTTGACTGTGCCCAAACTTTATTTAGCTCATCGCACGATGGATTAAAACTTAAGTTCAAAATTTGGTGTTTTTCTCTTCATCCGTTTTTGAGTTATCTCTAAAATTCAAAATTTTCACCTTTCATCAAATATCTCGAATTAGGTCCAATTTAGGGAAATCATGTATAGGAACAAAATAATAGAGAATGACATCATAAGCAACTTTTATCATGATTCCTATACTTTCCTTATCTGTACACAGTGCGGAAAATAAAAAATGGTCGTGACCGTATTTTCTTAGGCAACCCATTTACCCATTTGTGGTATATTTAAAAACATATTTTATTTAATAAAAAATAACTTTTATCCATTAAACAGATGGGTGAAGGTCGACCTTACTTACGGATCCTGGACTATTAGTATTTATACCAGAGTCTTAAAAGTGCAGTCTTTAAACATGAAGCTGAAGCTAGCAGGCAAACTAGGAGACAAACCATGCGGCAGTCTCTTAATGTTTTGATATTGTTATTCGGCAAAATCTTTGGTGTAGGTAGACTTTAGTATCATGAAAGTTTAGAAATAAATAAAAATTAGTGTATTTATTGAAAAACTTGATTAATTCAATTTGAATTATTAGTTAAAACAACAATCTTACAGAAAGATGGGGATGAAACAAACACATTTACAATGCGATTATAAATATAATTTAATAAGTTTTTTTGGTCTTTTTAAAGTTAGGTGTTTCGTCGTCAAACAACTATGAGAACAATGAGACCAAAAAAACACATTTAGCAGGAGATTACAATTACAATTTTTATACCAATTGTTTAGTACACTACTACCTATAAATTAAATAAAAAAATCAATAAATAACAAGTTATCTAAATATAGTTTTTAAGTCTTTAAAGTCAAACGTTTCCGCGGATACATATTACTCAATAAACATAAACATTTAACACGAGATTCCAAATACAATTTTTATACTAAAGATTCAATAAAGTATCAAAAAAAATAGTAAATCATCAAATAGCAAGACCTCTAAACACATTTTTTAGGTCTTGTTTCGCAGAAAAACATTCTATCAAAACATTGAAAAGCAATATTTAGCATGAAAATCCATATATAATTTTTAGTATGAATAACTCTACATTAGTATAATTCAAAAAAATAATAAATCATTACATAGCAAGACCTGCAAATACGTTTTTTTAGGTATTTAAAAATGTGCGATTCCGCGGATAAACCTTACTTTATCAAAATGACAAAAACCATTATTTAGCACGAAAATCCAGGTATAATTTTTAGTATGAATGATTCAATACATTATTATAATTCAAGTAAATAATAAATTATTAAATAGCAAGATCTCCAAATACGCTTTTGAGGTCTTTAAAAATGCGCGATTCCGCGGTTAAACCTTACTTTATCAAATTGACAAAAACCACTATTTAGCACGTATTTGGAGTTCTTGCTATTTAATAATTTATTATTTATTTGAATTATAATAATGTATTGAATCATTCATACTAAAAATTATACCTGGATTTTCGTGCTAAATAGTGGTTTTTGTCATTTTGATAAAGGTTTAACCGCGGAATCGCGCATTTTTAAAGACCTAAAGGGCGTATTTGGAGGTCTTGCTATTAAATAATTTATTATTTATTTGAATTATAATAATGTATTGAATCATTCATACTAAAAATTATACCTGGATTTTCGTGATAAATAGTGGTTTCTGTCATTTTGATAAAGAAAGGTTTAATCGCGGAATCGCGCATTTTTAAAGACCTAAAAAGCGTATTTGGAGATTTGCTATTTAATAATTTATTATTTACTTGAATAATAATAATAATGTATTGAATCATTCATACTAAAAATTATACCTGGATTTTCGTGCTAAATAATGGTTTTTGACATTTTGATAAAGTAAGGTTTATCCGCGGAATCGCGCATTTTTAAATACCTAAAAAACGTATTTGCAGGTCTTGCTGTGTAATGATTTATTATTTTTTTGAATTATACTAATATAGAGTTATTTATATTAAAAATTATATATGGATTTTCGTGCTAAATATTGCTTTTCAATGTTTTAATAGAATAATGTTTTTCTGCGAAACCGCGCATTTTTAAAGACCTAAAAAATGTATTTAGGTGGTCTTGCTATTTGATGATTTATTATTTTTTTTATTGATACTTTATTGTATCTTTAGTATAAAAATTGTATTTGGAATCTCGTGTTAAATGTTTATTTTGTTGGTTTTATTGAGTAATATTTATCCGCGGAAACGCTCGACTTTAAAGACTTTATTTAATTTATAGCTAGTAGTGTACTAAAACAATTGGTACAAAAATTGTATTTGTAATTTCGTGCTTAATGTGTTTTTTGGTCTCTTTGTTCTCATAGTCGTTTGACGACAAAAGACCTGACTTTAAAATGACCAAAAAAAAACATATGTTAAATCATTGCTCGGCCATAATTTTTTGTTTAATCAATTAACAAAAACCTAATGAATATTTGGTATAAAAATTATATTTATAATCGCATTGTAAATGTGTTTGTTTCGTCCCCATCTTTCTGTAAGATTGTTGTTTTAACTAATAATTCAAATTGAATTAATCCATTTTTTCAATAAATACACTAATTTTTAGTTATTTCTAAACTTTCATGATACTACAGTCCACCTTAACCAAAGATTTTGCCAAATAACAATATCAAAACATTAAGAGACCGCCGCGCGGTTTATCTGCTAGTTTGTCTTCTAGCTTCAGCCTCATCTTACAACACTTTGAATAACACCCTTATTACTAAATATGTCTATAATCAGGTTTATAAAAATATTGGAGGAATACAAGTTTACCAAAATGCCTATAAATTCGAATATTTCAACTTAAAATTTACGAGGAAAGTAGTATAACGTTTGTTTAATTTATTTATAGTTTATTTAAAACACTTTATTTATAATTTATTTATAACGTACTAATTAATTTATATAATACTTAGGCACTATTATAATTCACATTTCTAATTTATTTATTACAATTTATCTTTCCTGTCCAACGTTTAAATTGAATCTTCTTGTCCGTCGACAAACTCGCTCTATTTATATAAAGCCAGCTCTGTACCAGAACACTCTCGGCTTTCCAGAACGATTGATAACTGCCTCTTTATGATTCATACGCCGCAAAGGGATCCCTCCGACAGAAGCGGTGCGTTTGTCTCTACATGGACAGCCTTAGACTTCATAGTGTAGGCCAGGCGTAAACAAAGTAAAGAGATGGTTCCGTGTCACAGTAGTTTTAGTATACACAATCACTTTGTAAAGTCTATAATGCCAATATGATTTCAAGAGATCAGATCCAAAAGGGTAGAAACCGCCCCCTAAATTAGATATTTTTTATAGCTAAGGAGAAAAAATATATCGACTTAAAATTTATGAGAGAATTACAGTTTTAGTATGTACAATCACTTTCTAAAGCCGCTATTATTTCGAGAGATCCAAAAGGGCGAAATCGCCCTCTAAATTAGAAATATTTTTTTAGCAAACCAGAAAAAACATAGGTATCAACTTAAAATATATGAGGTAAGCACAGTTTTAGTATGTACATCCATGTTCTAAAGCTCTATGATTTCGAGAGATCCAAAAGGGTAGAAACCATCCTCTAAATTAGAAAATATTTTTTACAGCTAACCAGACAAATTTATCAACTTAAAATATGAGAGGGAATTACAGTTTTAGTATGTACAATTACGTTCTAAAGCCGCTATGATTTCGAGAGATCCAAAAGGACAGAAACCGCCTTCTATTTATTTTTATAAAATTATCTCTGTATTTGTTAATGTGTATTTTAATTAAGATAATTATAGTTTAAATGTTAACTAGATTAATATAGTTTTTACTAGCATGTTTTTAATAATAATAAAACAAATATTTTCGTTAAACATATTGATTAAATTTACCCTAACAAAAAGTATTATATTTCTTACACCTTAAATTTTTATTTTTGAAAATTTGATTTAATTACTTAACATGACTCAACCTGTAAATAAAAGAATGATAATAAATCTAGTTCAAAATTTAAAAGTCAAATTTCTGTTAAAACCTTTATATTGTTCCCTTTTCTTATGTAGGAGTTAGTTGCACATTATATAGTAAATAAGAACAACATGCCTCGTTTTTATTATTTTTTTAGAAATACAAGTAAGTATTTCTACTGATAACTTAATCCATTTGATAAGAGTTATGCACACCATTTCAGTATGCATATTCAATATAAATAGTTTAAAGATTCTATTTTAATTTGGTTTTAAATGTAAATATCTACAAAAATAATAATAATAATAATAATAATGTCTTTATTTTCATAATTAATAGATTAACAATTATTACAACATAAATTACATAATTTTTATTTAATTTGTAATTAGATCAGCTGTATACAGCTGTTTTTCATCTTAAGCTAGCAAAACAATATATACTCATGAGTTCACTGTACTGAACAGTAGAAAATGGAACAAATTGTGCATATTTTATATTATATAAGTGTTAGATTACAAGTCAAGTCACTATTGATTGAATTAAATTAAATGGTTATAATTATATATAAATTTTAGAAGAAAGAGAAAACAAAATTAAATAAAAGAAAATATTTGGGTGTTTTTATTGTAGGGGTAATTTTAGTTAGTATTTAAAAAATAGATGTAAATATAAGTATATTGTTGAATTAATTTAACAAGTTCTTATATATCGCTATGCTTCTGAACTATGGAGTGGTGTATTTAAGGAGTGTATTATTGATCTAGTCTGGAGTTAGAATATAGAGCATATTTTATTATATAAATAAATAACTGGGACATTTATGTAAATTTTGGTCACACAATTTATCTCAGAGTTTTTGTCTTCCTTTAGTATTTTAAGTATACTCTTTAGTATAAATTAAACATACTCTTTAGTATAAATTAAACATATTTTTATTTTGTGTTCTTAAAAAATAATTCAAAATATGTCTTATTGCAATACATAGTTTGACAGAATACAAGGAAATCTGGAGAAAAGATCATTGCAAATATACTTATAACAAAATAGAAACAGCAGTATACCTAAGCAGGTGGGCTTACAAAGCATAACTGAAAATATAAAAGATTATAACACTCTCGAGTCTCTCTCGCTCTATCGTAGTAGAACGTTTAGATACATTATCATCTTCTCAGCTCCAGTGATGTATACTGTAGATAATAATTTTTATTTAACACAAAATCTGAGATAGATACTGTGCATTCAGATTAGGTTTAGCATTTGTCAGCCAGAGCTGTCACCTATCAGTAAGATTTAAATCATTTTTTGATTTAAATACATTTTTTGATTTAAATACTTTGATTTTAAATCTTTTTTTAAAAAATGATTTTTGATTTATGATTTAAATCTTTTTAAAAAGTATCTTTGATTTTTTATTTAAAAATTAGATTTAAATCTTTTTAAAATGATTTAAATCTTTTTAAAACGATTTAAATCTTTTTAAAACGATTTAAATCTTTTTAAAACTATTTAAATCTTTTTAAAACGATTTAAATCTTTTTAAAACGATTTAAATCTTTTTAAAACGATTTAAATCTTTTTAAAGCGATTTAAATCTTTTTAAGATTTAAATCTTTTTAAAACGATTTACATCACCTGATTCGTCAAAATCGTTATCAACCTGTCTATTCCTGAATAATAATCACATCCCCAACTAGCCATTCATAAAAGTGTATTTGTTGTGAAGTTCTCATCATCTATTGTATAGTCCAGGAGACAGTGACGATTTTCGGTATTTATTTTCCCAGTCAGCAAGCACGAATAGAGAATTGTAGGATTAGCAATTCTAAGCAAAATTCATATATATTTAGAGGGGGGATCCGATGGGCTGAGGCCGAAAATGCGTCAAAACATACAAGAACACGGCCCTTTTTTTCCATTGATAAAAATAGTTTTAGTAGTAAGAGATGTACTGAAGTTAAGTAAAAAAAATGGTCTGATTAATCTGTATGGATAATATATTTGGCAAGTGCATAAAATACTTTCAAACGAGTTATATACACAATTATTTCTACGACCACAATTATTTAAAGAATGTTCCAGGTGTTTTGTATATTAAAGTGTACGCATAGGACACATAAATAAAATCTTATATCACAATCTTTCACCTAACCAGTTGGTTTATTTATAGAAATTAAACATAATAATTGAAGATAATACAGAAGAAAATAGGGAAATAAATATAATTATTGTTAGTTTCGTTATGTCAAATCATTTATACTAGAGGTGTGAGGAAAATACAGTGAACTGTGGAACGCCAATATCGTTGGATGCGCGTGGTAGAAATGGTCCTATAATACTGCTAAAAACATAGCTAAATTTTCATGGAAACACTGTACTTTTGACATTTGCGATACTCCGACGCATATGCATTATTGATGTAATCTCATGATTTTACAGTAATAGTTTTTGCAGTTTTAGTGTGATTTTTAGGTTATTATGGTTATTCATTTTATTTGGTTCTGATCTTTTGCGCTTTTAGAGTATTTGTCTTTTATATAGTTTTTAATTTGAATTTTAATATTGTGGTCTATTTATATTTGATTGCTGCTTTTCGACTAGTGCTTTATTCTTTTTGTGTTAAAATAAGCGTTATAACCATTAAGTACATGCTTCTAGTTGATATCTACCTAATCGTTATCGGGTGCTTGCAACAATGGGAAAAAGTGTATGGTTTTTTTGGTGTAAAGTTAGACGCCTTCATTTTTCAGGTAAGTTATTTGTAGTTATTTTTTACTTAAATGGATAGCAATACGTCCTGGTTCGGGGTGTGACTTTTGGGTTTTAGCTATCTGAGCCAAATTGTCGGCCAAGTGTCCTCTTTTAGGGCACCCAGAACCGAAAACTATATAGGTATATAATATGTTTTTTTAATTATTTTTTAATATGTATGCAGCTTGGATGAGGGCTTTAGGAAGAGATCCTAAGACTGAACACTGACTGCTATAAATGCCGTTTTTAGAGCACATTTCATAGTGATTTCATTCTAGCAGCAATGAGGGAACGTTTAAAAAACATGCTGTACCAGCTATTACTTTAAGACCTCGTCTCTTTAAGTTATTATTACTTCATTCTAATGCATATATTAAAATGGTTTTTAACTTATGTCCTTATGATTAAAATATGTAGGTATTTTAGTTATATTATAATAGAAATATATGATACTTTGTATTGACTGACCTACTGGCTACTGGTCATTCCACTTTTACTCCCTTTTTTCATAAATTATCAAATTATTTAAAAACAAATACATACCTACCTAGCTATTTTCTGTAAATTACATTAAAATTTTAGTATTAATACTTTACTAATAAAACTTCAGTTAATTTATCTTATATATATACACAACGGAAGAGTTAATTGGATTTTCTCCTTGTTGAGTTTCAAAAATAGTAATTTAACATGATTTAAAAACAAATACATGAAATGGGCAAAATAGGCCTACAGAGGCACTTTGTAAACAATCTCACTTGTATCGATGTGACGTAATGCGCGAATTCAATCTGGCTTACTTTTGTTAATAGATTGGCGTTCCATTTTAAATATACAGTTCACCGGGAATAGATTATTTAAATATACACGGACCGGGAAAACAAGTACGAAAAAATTCACTGGCTCCTGGACTAGCACTGTATCGAAGAAATTTTTATGAATGAAACAATATACGACCCTCCACAATTGCTGTCTACTCAACTTCCGCTGTTGTCAGACATTATTTTTTTTTTTTGACAATTTAAAGGCCTAACAGTAATTCAAGCAAACGCAATAACATTACTACAGTTAAAAACATCTCAAACTTGGCATCAATATTTTAATTTTATCCAAATATTGCATTTCTGTCGAGGATCATCCGCGTTGAAATTGTGTAATCTGTATTGGTTATATATATATATATATATATCTATAGTTAAAAGCACATAAACTTGGCATCAATGTTCAATCCGATTATTGAGTTTCTACCGCGGACACCACCGTTCATTCTTCAAAAATTTTGTAAATAATCTGTCTTGGTTATATATCTATGATAATAATCTAGCCAGCATGTCAGTAGGGTTGAATCAGAAATCCGAGAGAAAAAAAAAAGAAAAAGAAAAAATAGTGAAGTTTAACAAATAATTGCAATGACTAAAGATTATTCTTAAGTATGAAATTTTACAATATTTTTGACCCGATATTTTTTTTTGTTAAGTTGTATTTTTTACACCGCAAGCAGCTGGAAATACTTTTTCATTATCGATATAATCCTGAAACTCTTTACAATATGTATTTTAAATGTATGCATTAAGACGATTATGACTTTTTGACCAGTTCAATAAACACGCTTGGCATAGATAGAGCGAATTAATTAAATTTTTTTATTTATTTGCCTGTTTCATCCACACATTTTTCAAAACAATTAACCCAAACGCGCTCACTTTGGTTATGTATTTCCTCGCAATAACTTCACGTTGAGAGAAGAACTCTTTTAATTCAACCCACTCAATTTTATTATTCATAGCCGGGAGATTTTGAAAATGAAATGTATTTTTCCGGGAGAGTCTCCTAAGTACAAAAAAAAATATTTTTAAAGAGTCTGATGTATGTGCATCTATGTGGGGTGTTTATATATGTATGACATTAAGCACGTTAACTCAAGGAAGAGTTGACGGATTTAAGTGATTTTTCAGAAAAAAAATCACTTTTCTTAAAAACTAGGTCTCCATTGTTTTGTGGCATCATAGGCATACCAAAATTATCTTTTAAAGGGTTGAAAAATTCCTATTTACCAATCGACATGACATTTTTAAATAACAATTTTCATAACTATAGATATCAATGCTGCATAAATCCTTAAAAATTTTATCCTGATCGGCTATTTATTATTTAAAATTAATATTTCCTTAAGAATTGCATTGGACAAATAACGATAAAAAATAAATACGAGAAAAGTTGATCGAGTTTTGCGTTTTATTTATGAAAAAATCACATAACTTAAGTATTCATTATCTTTGGCCTACCGAAAGCATTTGTTAAAGAGTTACCCAAATCTATAAAAATATTTAAATCTTTTGAAAATATTTATTTCGTTTAAAAAGATTTAGATATTTCGAAAAGATTTAAATCTTTCGAAAAGATTTAAATCTTTCGAAAAGATTGAAATCTTTCCTAAAATGATTTAAATCTTTCGAAAAGATTTAAATCTTTCGAAATGATTTAAATCTTTCCTAAAATGATTTAAATCTTTCGAAATGATTTAAATCTTTCGAAAAGATTTAAATCTTTCAAAAAGATTTAAATCTTTCCTAAAATGATTTAAATTGTAAAAAAGATTTAAATTTAAAAAAGATTTTTGATTTAAATCTTTCTTTTTAAAAAATCGATCTTTGATTTAAATCATTTGTTCAAATGCAAACGATTTATGATCTTTGATTTAAATCGTTTTTAAAATGATCTTAAACAGCTCTGTTGGCAGCTATGATATTAGATTTGTAACAGGAAAAAGGCATTCACAAATAAAACAACAATATAAATTTAAATATTATCAGAAAGTTTTTTATTTATTATATATCTACAATGAATGTTTAAAGATTAATTCATCAATATTTGTAAGGAGAATATACAATTATGCTTTTCTTTGCAGTTTCGGTTTTAAACTTTAAATTTCTCCTATTTTGTGTGTATATATGTATAGTGTAACAATTGTTTAATTTAAAAATAGTTTATTTATTTAATACTTAGGCACAATTATAATTTACAAGTTTAACTCACAATTCTAATTTATTTATTACAATTTATCTTTACAATACAACTTATATTGAAAGTTCACGTCTACCGACAAAGTCGCACTATTTTAACCAAAAATAAACAGTCTAGAAAGAACCAACTCTGACTAGAAGCTCAGGAAATTATCCTCCCCGCATCAGACTGCGATAGAAAACATTTGGCTTCGGAGTCGGCTTCAGGCGATATTACGACAATACCCTGTATCTAATATATGATTATGTTTTATTAAACTTAATGGATCATGAATGTCAAAAATTCGATGGGGTACAGTAATTATTTTTATATAAAGTATTTCAGAATCTATTCATTTTTCAGAACTTTTAGAATAAATTCAATTTAGGGTACCATTAAGATATACTACTCAAAATGATTTATTCTTCATTCCATTTCTCAGAACTTTTGACTTATTTAGTCATCTTACAATAATGCAAATTTATTTATTTATTTATTTATTTATTTATTTATTTATTTATTTATTTATTTATTTATTTATTTATTTATTTGTTTATTTATTTATTTATTTATTTATTTATTTATTTATTTATTTATTTAGCACTTACAGAATGTAAAATTCCAAATAGTACAGTACATCTAACCTAACACAAACAATTGTAGGAGTTAAAAACAATATACAATAAATAAAAAAAAATATAAAATATAAAAAAAAAGAATAACACAACACCGCGGCACGATACGAATAAAAACTTAGACATTCAGGAGTTGCAAGTCCCTTTTTAGCGCCAAAATATTACAATTAAATATATCACAGTCCCATTAAAATTTGTTATATTTCTTGCCAGAGATTAGGGACATAAAGATAGGAAACGCAACGACCGCAGCAACGATGGCGTCATCTATGCGTCTCAGATGTTAACTAAAGGTATACGTTGTTTGTAGACAGACCAGTGTTGCCAAATATATTTTTTTAAGAGATCGTACGAGTAGAGTAGAAAAATGTTATTTCGACAAAAAATTTGTACAATGACTGTCACTTGAAAGTGATTGAAATTTTGCATGCAAGTCTTTGTTATGCCGTGATAGTCGGTATTGGTACAAAATCACGATAAGTGAGAATGAAAATGACTGCCTTCAGAAATTACGAACGGCCTATGAATCTTTGCAAGCACTTTTTGATTTTTATTGTTTTATGTTCTGAAGTTGTTGCAGATATTTAAATAAACTTAATAAAAAAGGGAAGATCGTATTTTTATGTACAATCTCACTGATGCAATCGTACATCGTACAGGGAGTTAAAAAATCGTATAAATACGATTTAAATCGTACGGTTGGCAACACTGAGACAGACAGTAGACGTGGACAGCAGTGGACAGTTTGTAAAAATAAATGTCAGTTAGTTTTATGTATATCGAAGAATCCTGAATTTAAATTTTGAGTTAATGATTGTGTTATCCTCTAAATGAACTAAGCGAAATGGTTGTAGTTGTTTTTGTGTGAAATTTGAGGACAGTAATTATATTTTGTAATATTACAATAAATCGGAGAATTTATTGCATTAGTAACACATGCCACATGAATAAATTTAACAACCCCAATGTGGCGTTCTTTAATTAATCAAAGTAAGATCTAGTCATGTAAGTGACACAAATAGTAACCAACTTTTGTCACAAAGTAGGTATTTATTCATTAATAATTGTTTAGAACAAGAAACTGGCTTTAAAACGTTAGAAAGGAAATTTGATATCTGAATTCCCATTATTGAGTTGGCACTAAACATTTTTAAATAAGACACTATTGGCCATTCGTTTGAAAAACAAAAATGTAATGTTACAAATAACGATCAAAAATTAAAAAATATTTGTCATGAATAGATTTACAAATATTAATCGATAATAGACTGTAAGTGTAGTATTCTTTTTAAAAAATAATATAGCGTAATTACATTCATTAAATTTATTTACAAGAACATGAGAGTGCAGTCGATATTTATACAACCTTTATTATCAGATTTTGATGAAGCCAATCATTCTGAGGGCTTTGCATACTAGGGAATTTATATGGTTGTTAAAAAATATTGTGGTATCAAAAATAATGCCCAGATTAATAACTGTTGAGGATCTATCTAGGTTGATGCTGTCAATACTGTAACAGTTAAGATGAGGATTGTGGGATCTTGTGAAATGCATGGTTGTGCACTTAGAAATATTTATAGAAAGAGCATTATTTTTACACCAGGTAGCAAACCTGTTTAGGTCAGACTGTAATGCGGAGTTATTACCAGTGTTTCTACTAAAAAACTGTAAATCATCTGCGAAAAGAAGGCATTGGCTATTAAGAAAGCAGGACGTAACATTATTGAAGAATAAGAAAAACAATTGGTGACCTATATGTGAACCTTGAGGAACACCGGATAGGACTGAAACGTCACATAATACGCAAGAATTATGCACTATGACACGTTGACACCAATTACTCAAATAAGATTTAATCCAGTAAAAATAAGAAGCAGAGATACCGATTTCGGAGAGTTTCTCTAGTAGCAATTCATGACAGACACAGTTTTTGACAGATCGGTGTAGATGGTGTCAACCTGGTAACCATTTTCAATTGATGAAATGAAGAAGTCTGGATAGATTGCCAGATTAGTTGAAATTCTGGGTATGTCTTCCCATAGCTGTAGAAAAGCTGCAAGAAATAGACTCTGTGGATATTTTGAATATTTTTTTATTGATATTTAATATGTTATAATAAAAAATAATTTATTACTTAAGTACTTAGTTATTTGTTTTTAAAATAAAAGTTGCAAATTAATAATTAATAAATTATTTTTGTATATTTTTATTGTAATGTGGATTACCCCTATGTTCAGTAAATAAATACATAACATTACCTAACTAAATCGAAAATGTACTTTTAATTAACTTTCGTGGTGTCACATTTTGTATTATAGAACTTTGTTCTTGCAAGAGAGAGTCAAGATTTGAAGTCACCGATTACTGTTAAATTCCATATAAACTCTTTTCAATAATATGCCTCTGTTTTTTTCTAAATTTTATTGTTTAAATAGGTTAGAGAGAGGGGGTAAATGACATGAATTATGTATTTTTATTGGCTCGCCTTGTAAAAATATGTTTTTTTTTTCTGTGACGGGAAAAAGTTTGTGTTTGTCTCCCGACGCAAAGCAAGAGTCTTTTTCCCTTGTATAATAAATAACTATTTGTATGTGTACTATGTGATTATTAAATTAATTCAGATAAATGAATACTTGATACAAAAATTTATACCAATAATAATTTAAATAACACATTTAATTTGCCTAAAATATTTTATATTATGTGAGTGGGACGCCATAACTTATTCGATGCTCTATTGTTTCAGAATTCAACACTAAAATTTTATTGCATAAGGAAAACAATGAACAGTTGGAGAGTTTGCAAATTCAAGAGATGTCAAAAGTTAAAAACCTGGTTTTGTTGAGGGATCAAGAAATCGCCGAAAAAACCACTGCCCTTAAAGATGCCAATATTCAATTAGAAAAATTACGAAACGAGGTATCTAGATTGAGAAGACAGGAAGAGGTTTTGAGCGATGTGCAGGTATGAAAAATGTATTTATCTTAGAGAATGTTGTTTTGGATGTATAAAGACCTAAGTAAAAATTGATTAAATAGTAGATTAAAAATAATTTCGTAAATTTTTTTGTTAAGAAATAAACTCGAGCGTTTTATTATGTGAAGATAATCAGTTAAAGATACAACTGAGAACTAACATGTTTTCCAGTATTTAATGAAGGTTAACTTCCAACAAATTTTTTAATATTTTAAAGAAAATTTAGATGTTATTCAGATTATTCAGAATTATGTAACTGAACTGATAGTAACAGTCTCTAGTGATAAATTAGTTTTCAATGGAAAATTTTGTGGTTTTCTACGAGGAAGTTTTGAAAAAATGTAGTAGAGAAAATTTAATCAGTGTATGTAGTATTCATTCTTTATATAGTTACAATATTTTTATCTTTTGTAAAATAATAGATTTTAAAATTCCTTAATGTAATTTCAGAGTATAATTTACTCATATAATTTATATTTCTAAAAATTATTGCGTCTAAAAATTGCTGGTATTCAAGAAAATAGTTTTGCAAGTAAAGCAGAATATTTTTCCTCATAATTCTCTTTTCTGCATCAAAAAATGACCGGTATTAAATAAAATACTAACATTTTAAGAAATCTATTCTATTTGGTATAGTAATGCTTATTACTAAAAAAAATAAACTTATTTTTTCAGTATAGATTTACAAAACTGTAAAACAAAACATTGGATAACTTTAAACAAAAATAATAACACTTCTAATAATTTTCACATTATGTAAAAAATTACCATTTAAGAAACACTTTTCCGAATTGTATAACTGCCGAGAGGAATATACAGGGTGTTCGGAAATTACATGTACCTGGAGCTACCATATATTTATGGGATCATAATAAGTTGATCTAACCAAACTTATACCAATTTGCTTCGTTTGGTCGCTAGAGGTCAACAAAGGTAAATAAAAATATCATTAGGCAATGGACATTTTTCCTAATTTTTGACATTTCTGGTATTAAAATAGGAAACTACAGAGTTTTTAGGCAAGTTACTCTCGTTTGATTTTGCTTTTTGAACAAAAACTTCATAGTCTTAGATGAAGATGATTATCACCCCTCTTTGTGTATTGATGTCCCCATTAATTGTAATTAAGAGCTTACAGTGTAAACCAGACCACTTGCAGTATAATTACAAAAAAGCAGATTTTCCAAAATTATACAACGCACTACTCAATCTCAATTGGAATTTTCTTGATTCTGCAAGCAGCTTTGATGAAAGTGTTCAACCTTTGAACAATAAATTGTTTATTATTTTTAATAAGCATATACCTGCTAAAAAACCTAACCTTAAGACCTACCCTCCTTGGTTTAATGGTCATTTAATACGCATGATTCGTCAAAAAGAAAAAGCCCGAAAAACCTACAAATCCGCTTATTCCATAGATGGATTTACTAAATTTAAGAACCTTCGAGACCAAATTAAACATGACGTTTCTATAGCTCATTCCTCATATTTAAGCGCAATTGAAAATAATATTAAAAATGATCCAAAACCATTCTGGTCATACATAAATTCTAAAAATTCTTCCCATTCCATACCCACTACTGTTGAATATAATAATGACTGTATAGAAGATCCACAGGCAATTGTTCAAGCTTTTACAGATCATTTTTCAAGTAATTTCTCCAAGCCAACTCAAATAAATCACTTTAATTCTGTATCTCAAGATGAAGTTATTAGAGCCCTAAAAAAGCTCAATATGTCAATGGGTACTGACCTTGTTCCTTCGTTTCTTGTTAGAGACTGTGCACTAATTTTGGCCACTCCGTTGAAACATATTTTTGATTTAATTTTGCAAACATGTATTTTCCCTACTGTCTGGAAAATTTCCAGAATTACTCCGGTACATAAAAAAGGTAGCAAAAATAATGTTTGTAATTATCGGCCCATTGCAATTTTGCTATAGTATTCGCAATAATTACTCACGATCGTATTTCCAATCATGTTTCTTGTGACCAACATGGATTCAAGAAAAATAGATCTACAGTTACAAACCTTGTATGTTCGACGCAATTCATTTCGGAAGCCTTGGATAGAAGAAGTCAAGTTGATGTAATATACACAGATTTCTCCAAGGCCTTCGACAAAATTGATCATTCCATCTTGCTCTACAAGTTAAGTTTCATTGGTTTATGCTATCAAATCATTCAATTGATTGGTTCGTATTTGTTGGGTAGGCATCAATATGTTCAATGTCGTGGTTACAGGTCAAAAACATTTCGAACAAACATCAGGAGTTTCGCAGGGATCAATTTTAGGTCCTCTTTTATTTATAATTTTTATAAATGATATAGTCGCTAATATCGAGCATATTAAAGTTTTAATGTATGCCGACGACCCAAAATTATTGCTTGAAATCAATTCTGTTAACCATTGCTTGCAACTTCAAAAGTGTTTGTCCGACATTGCGAAGTGGTGTCTCGATAATTCACCCCGTGATGTCCTTTACTAAAAAAGTAACATCTATAATTTTTGATTATAAACTACAGAACATTGTTCTAAATCGATCCGAATGTATAAGAGATCTTGGAGTTTATTTTGATCCTGAACTAACTTTCGTTAAACACATTGAAACGATGTTATCTGCTGCTAACAAGAGCTTAGGGTTTGTTATTCGAAGCTGTAAAGAATTCCGAGACATATTCACCTTAAAAATTCTATATATTAGCTTTGTACGGTCAAAACTTGAATACTGTTCTGTTGTTTGGAATCCCGTGCATAACATTTATACCGACTTTTTCGAAAAGGTTCAAAGAAAATTCAAGAAATCGGCTTCCTACATTTTAGATGGTATATACCCTACAAGGGGATATCCTCACGCTTTACTAATATCTAGATTCAATCTTTCAGAGCTCGTAATATGCAGAAATTTCCAACAGGTACTTCTACTTTATAATCTTTAAAATGGCTCAGTCGACAGTATTGACTGTTAAATTACGTTAATCTAAAAATCCCCCGTGTTGGTTTAAGAGTTTACTTGAGTTTCTACATGCCAGCTTCTAGAACTAATGTTTTGAACTCATCTCCAATGTACCAATCTATTCAAAAATATCATGAAATTCAAGACAGCTTGAACATTTTTGGATGTAAAAAATATATGATTAAAAATGTTTTTTTTTTAATCCTGTGTTCGGTCAGTTTTTTTTTCTGGATATTATATTGTATAGCTTTTTAACAATTTTGTATTTGTATTTATATTCTAATGTTTTGTCTTTCCCACCTAGTAAATGGCGATTACTGTTGAGTGGTGTAACAAATAAATAAATAATTAATTTTCTATTTTAATTCCAAAAATGTCAAAATATATGACAGAAAAAATTAGGGAAAATGTTTGTTGCCCTCCCTCTAATGAGACCCTTATGGTAGCAATAGAAAAAAAATTCCTACTGCTTTTAATTGGCCAAACGAAGCAAGTTGATATATAGGTAAGTTTGCTTAAATCAACTTATTTTGAGTCCATAAATCTGTGGTAGCTCCATGTACACGCAATTTCCGGACACCCTGTACATATAAAGCAACTATTTAGAAACATTAGAAATTTGACATTCCTGATTTTTTATTGTTTATGCGTTAAATATCATGTTGAATAACTTGTTTTTTTTTGTATTTGCAAAATTCTATAAAGTTAGTTTGAATATTAGATATTTACTGATAGGCATATTAAATAAAAATTATAATTTTTATATGTGATCTATAAAAAATTAACTGATATGGAAAATGGTTGGCTAATGTACAATTCAAAAAAATAATATAAAACAACAATAAAACTTAAAATCAAAATTAAAATTACAGAAGTTACTTTGAAGGTAATAATTATAATTAAGTTTTTTTAGTACCATTTTTATTGTTATAACGAATTTAGGTTTATTAAAGGAAACCAGATCAATAATCCAGAGTCGAATTCGTAAAATAATAGTGGTATACAAGGTAACTCAATGTTTTTGATGACGTTATTAACCATAACCCAGAGATATTTTATTTTATTCAACTCTCTGAAGCTTTTCTCTATCGACAGAAAGACTGCGATGCTACATTTAATTTTCGTAAATTTCTTTTGTTTTTAAAACAAGTTTCAGTGTTTTCATGTGTAAAATAGATCAGGTTATCATCCGCGAATAAGTGTATTGGGTATCTTTCTACTACCCTAACAATGTCATTAATATAAATTAAAAACAGTATCGGACCCAGCACACTACCCTGTGGCACCCCCATATTCAAAATACAGTTCTTTACCTTAACCTTCTGTTTCCTATTTTTCGAATAATATTCCAACCAGTCCAGTGCACAGTCCCCCAAACTAATAGATCTTAATTTAATTAATAATCTACCCCTATTAATATTCTCAAATGACCTCTGTAAATCTAAAAATCTCCAATGTAACAAAAGTTTCATTTGATAATTTCGACGCACAGTTGTAACTACGGAATCCTGATTGCACTTTACTGTTTCTCTCAAAATAATCAATAATTTGAACATATATTACTTTTTCTATTAGTTTTCTAAAAATAATAATAATAAAAAACGTCTTTATTTTAATAAGCCTCGGCGGAGTCCAGCATAGCTGTTCCACTCAACGCAAGTACCAAATACAAACATTTCATATAATACAAATATACATTGTTATTTAGATTTAAATTATTTAATATACATTTTATGTAGACACATGCAATAAGAAAATTAACAATACATAAACACAAATTTTAAAACAAGAAATTTTTTCAGTAATTTTTTAAAGATTTCTAGAGATTTATTTTTACATTGATCAGGTAGAGAGTTATATATAGTGACTGCATTGTGTGAGAAAGATCTCTTGTAGAGAGTTGTTCTATGTTTAGGTATAACAAGAAGGCTAGTATTTCTAGTATTTCGGTTATGAACATTCCAGCTAAATGTCAATTTTTTCCTAAGGTATGCTGGATTATTATTTCTCAGCAGTTTGTGTACAAAGGAAACCATATGAAGTTTTCGTCTATTAAACATATTAAGCCACCCCAATTCTTTTAATTTGTTTGAAACATGATCTCTAGATGTTAATGTAAAAATGAGCCTAACGCACGAGTTTTGAATTCTCTGTAGCCTCGCCGACGAGTCTACATCTAAACATGGCCCATAAACAAAATCAGCATAATTGGTATGACTTAATATTAACGTCTCACAGAGTTGTATTTTTAGGGATGCATTCAAAAAAGATCTGCTTCGATATAGATTTTTTAAAGAGCAATAACATTTTTGGACCATGAATCTAACTTGTTCCTTAAATCTCAATTTTGTGTCGATATAAATTCCCAAAATTTTGACTAAGTCACATGGCTTAGCTACCACATTATCAATTTCGATATTCAAATTATCTTTTATAACTTTGGTAACATTACCAAAGCATATTACTAGTTTTTGCCGGATTTGTTACACAGAGTTTGATTTATCTCTAAGCGACCATTACCCAGTTCATTAACTAAGAAACTCTTGTAAATTTGAGTATCATCAGCAAATTGATCTATTGTACAGTTCACAGCATTATTGTTAAGATCTAATGTATATATAAGATTAAGAAGAGGTCCAAGAATTGAGCCCTGTGGCACACCTTTGTCAATCATTCTTGAGCTAGATTCATTATAGCCATGTTTTTCAAGAATTTTGGCTTTATTATATAACATCCCGACACTCTTTGGTATATCTTCATTAATCTACATTATTTTGCCCTCACCATCAATTCCACATTCCAGTGTATCTAATTTTATCGTTTTCTTCAATTCCAATCATCTCTGGTTGACTTTTTTTTTCAATTTAACTAGTACTGGTTTTCTAGATTCCTTACTAGGCAATGTTTGTATTCCATATTCACTATCTTCAATTTCAAACTTCATTTTTTTAAATACCTTTTTACTTTCCTATCTGTATACAGATATAAGGAAAGTATAGGAATCATGATTTTTTCGACCTCGAGTTTTCGACGGATTTTTACGTTTTGAGGTCCCCTGAATCCGTTTTGACTATTTTCGCGATGTCTGTGTGTGTGTGTGTGTGTGTGTGTGTGTGTCTGTGTGTGTGTCTGTGTGTGTGTCTGTGTGTGTGTCTGTGTGTGTCTGTGTGTGTGTGTGTGTGTCTGTATAACGCATAACTCATGAACCGATACACGGAAAAACACCAAATTTTAAACTTAAGCTTTGTTCCAACGTCTAATGAGCTGATTAGATTTTGGGCAGAGTCGGAACATCTGGGGGGGTACTTTATAGGTGGTCATTTTTATATTTTATGGAATATATGTTATTTACGTTTGGGGAAGAAAATTCTTTAAATGAAAGTTACTTCTTATTTTATTATCTATAATTTTTGTTATATACAAAATTTTCCTAAAATGGTCCGTATTCGCGAAATTTGACAAAATGTAAAAAAATATTTTTTTTTATAAAAATTGTTCAAACAAAAGTTGTTTGTAATATAATTCTCTATAATTTTTATCCTATAGATAATTTCTCTAAAATGGACCGTATTCGAGATATTTGAGAAAATGTGTAAATTTCGAAATTTGAAGAAAACTCAAAAATGGATAAAGAAAAAACATTAAATTTTAAACTTAAGTTTTATTTCGGCCTGACGTGAAATGATTAGATTTTGGACAAAGTCGGAACATCTGGGGGGGTACTTTATGGGAGGCCGTTTTTATATTTTATGGAATATATCTGTTATTTATGTTTGAAGAAAAAAATTGTTCAAATAAAAGTTACTTCTAATATTATTATCTATAATTTTTGCTTTATGCAAAAATTTCCTGAAATGGTCCGTATTCGAAAAATTTGACAAAATGTGCAAAATTCTGATTTTTATGAAAATTGTTGAAATAAAAGTTGTTTGCGATATCGATCTCTATAATATTTGTTTATACATGATTTTTTTAAAATGGACCGTAATGGAAAAATTGTAGGAAAAGTGCTAAATTTAAATTTTTCAGTATTTTCATTTTCAATGAATATCTATAGAAAAATGTTTCGCGGTAGATGTATGTGGACAATGTATATATTTAGTTTATCCTCTAAACATTTATAGAGATGCTGCAATAGATTGTACAAAATAACCGGAAAAAGCCTGTAATACCTAGATAGGAAAGTCATGTGTTGGACACATCAGATTTTTAATATCATCTTTAACTGAATTTCCACTGCACAAACCAAATATAATGACATTTTTCCCCTTCTGATCTACTTCCTCATTTTTGGCAAAATGATTAAATTTCTCAATCTTCCTTTCTTCAACTCTATTTTTTAGGACTTTTTGTTCCTTTCTTAACACTGCATTATCTTTAGACACGTTTTCTAATTTTTCTGAATGTCATCCATCACTTCAGAATTAAATTGTACAGATTGCTCCAACTCAGAGAACCACCCCTTAAAAAACTGCATAATCTCCTTATTAGAAGGATTAGAGCTATTAAGGACATTATCTCAAAATTGTTGATCTTAAATATTGTTAAATTGCCAAGATATTGTTTAATTTGACTTTTTAAAGCATTTAATGGATGGTATGTATGAAATATTTACTATGCCAATGCTCACATGACACATTTTTCAGAATGATTTTAAGATTCCAATTTAATCATGAAACTGCTATAATATTTTTTTTTACATAACTAAACATAGTGGTACAAAACATGTCTTTTTGGTTTTGGAGTAAAAATATTATTCAACAATAAATTTTAAATAAATTGCATACTGCATGTCAACTAGATTTAATAAAACTCTAAATTTTAATATGTATCAGTTATTTTTTAAATATATGTATCACTTTTAGGTTTTCAATTTAAAATAGCTAAATCAACCATATCACGATAAAATTTCAAACAATTATCATATTCATTCTAACTTTATGAATTTATGCAATACATACCTCACGCTATTTTTTTTTGTTTATTCACTTTTTAATTTTGAAGTTATCTACACTGTCTTGTGTTCTTTTGTATTGGTGGGCTTCTGGGCTATTCACAGGTATGTGCTTCTCGCATTTTTCTTTTTTAATCGGAAAATCAAATCTTAAATATACTTATTTCTGATTGTAGGACGATTTAGAATCTTTAAGGCACAGTACTTCTAGAGATTTAGCTCAGCTCGCTTCTGAACTATCTAAAAGCGAGCAGGAAAAGAAGTATTTGCAAGATTTAGTTGTAATTTTAAGACAAAATAGCAGTAACATTACGGACGATGATAACACTATTTCTGAAAGAAAATTATTGGAACAGAGATTGGAGGAGGCTCATCTGCATTTAGCCGATATCAAGACTTCTTGGAGTGATAAAATAGCGTCATTAGAAACACAAGTAAGTCTTGCACTTGATAAAACTAAGATAAGAAGTCTTAAGTACTTAATTTTATGTTTTGTAGGTTTTTATTTGATGCCCTTACATTTTGTTACATGCTACCCACATTTTAATAGTTATTTTGTTTTTTACATCCATATCTTCCACTTCTCATTTTACAACTCATATCACGTTTTCAAGGTTTTGACTTTGTTATGTTAAGAATGGGGTGTTAACGGTTTTGACTTTAAATATGTTACCATTAGTGTTTGGATGGCAGCTTGGACAAATTCTTTAACTATTTGAAAAAATATTTACCTTTTTGTTTGTTTTGTGCTTCCCTACCATTTTTAAACATTTTCTTAGCCAGTAGGACCCCAAAAGTTTCTAGTTTTTTGAGGAATTTTTGGGGGAAGTGTCATTACTAGGCTATGTGTTTCTAACCAGTTCATAACATGGTATATTGTGATTATTTTTTTCTGCGAAACAATATGGTTTTAGACATGGGAGAACAACTACAGATGCCATGCTGGCTTTAATGAATAACATTCAGGAGTCTTTAGAAAACAAATCACAATGCGTAGCTATAATCACTGATCTGTCTAATAAAATGCAAATAAGATGATTGCTTCTTATTTACAAAACAGACAACAAAGTGTATATTACAGAAATAAACTTAGTAAACCTTTATTAATGAAAAGAGGTGTTCCACAAGGATCCGTACTAGGCCCTCTATTATTTTTAATATATACCAATGATCTTTCATCATATATGAATTCAAATAATGCCGACTTACTACCATGTATGCAGATGATTCCAATTTCTCATATCACTGCAATAACACATCTGACATAGTTATCAAAAACTCTACGATTATGACTGAAGCTAAACAATGGTTTGAAGCAACGAATTATTTTTAAATCACAATAAAACTGAAACATGTGTCTTCAGGTTGAACCAAACTACTAGTGAAACAATGAACACTAAATTTCTCGGTTTATATTTTGACACACAACTTACATGGAACTATCAAATAAATAACTTATGCAACAAGTTGGCAAAATTCACGTTTGCTCTACGTAGAATATCAAATATAGTTAATACAGAAGCAGCAATAACTACTTATTATGGCTTATTCCATTCCAATTTAACATATGGGATTCTAATTTCACTACAGACTTTTTATCTTGCAAAAATCGGCAGTTCGCTCTATTCTGCGGGTAAATTATTATGAACCGTGCCAACCACTATTTAAGCAACTTAGCATAATGACCCTGTTTTCGCAAATAGTATTTGAAAACTTGTTAGCCATAAAAAATAATTTAGGAAACTTCTCATGTCACTCAGACAATCATACATACGATACCAGAGGGAAAAATCAGCTAATCCAAACGAGAACTAGAATAAACAAGTTCCGAACAATAGGCATTTCATTCTATAATGCACTTCCGCCCCACATCCGTAATCTACCAGGAAAAAAGTTTAAACATCAAATTAAAAAGATATTACTGGACATGTGTCTATATAACACTAACGATTATTTTGTAAGAGTGAAACATGTCACCTAATATTTTTAATATTGTATTTTTTATATATTTTTTATTACTATTACCAACCATGATCTTTTAAAATCCCATTTTATTTTTAACCGACTTCAAAAAAGGAGGAGGTTCTCAATTCGTCGCAATATTTTTTTTATGTATGTTCAGCGATAACTCTGTAACACGGTGTCCGATTTCAATGATTCTTTTTTTGTTAGAAAGGGGGTACTTCAGGGGTGGTCCAATATAAATTTGGTCAAAAGCTAATAATTTGGTCCATGAGAAAATCCTCAAATTCTTCATTTTTTATGTATGTTTAGCGATAATGCTTTATCACCTTGTCCGATTTATATGATTCTTTTTTTGTTAGTAAGGGGGTACCTCAGGGGTGGTCCCATATAAATTTGGTTAAGATGTGGTGATGGCATCTACACGTTTTTGAGGTCGGTTTTTTTTTTTAATTTTTAATTTCTAATACTTGTAAATTTTATACGAGTATGCAGTATGTTAATGTAAGTAAAATGTAGTGTATTTTACCATTTATGTGTACTGACGACTATGTAAACATGTTTAAATATGTATTACTGAGAATAAAATATTTCTATTTCTATGAGTTGCCAGTTTGGTCTTCATTTTATGATATACATATTATGCCGAGTCCACACCAAACCAACAAAAGTTTCCCAACATTTTTAAAACAAAAAGAAAACATTTATATTTTGTTTAGTTGATGTGTTTTCAGCAACTTTCTATTTTTCCGTCGCCTGTCGGTAAAGATCAAAGTGTTGATGTTTTGCCTGTGTTTTTGGCAATGTTAGTCTGGTGTGTATGCACTCGACAAGAAAGAAAACAAAAATAAATTTGTGGTTTGCAGTTGTGCTGAAAATTAATTGAAATATATAGAAAGGCTAGATTTTTATGGGACGTTGGGCACATTAATTACAAAAATCGCTATAAAAAAGCAGACGCCTTAAAGGAAATCGGAATATTGAGTAATGCTTTTTCAGAGGAGGTAGACAGAAAGATAAAAAACATCAATACCCAATATTAGAGAGAATAACATCAATACTGACCATTCCTAAATACACTGCGTGTCAGAGAAAACGGACCCCCCAAAAAATTTACGAAATTATCTATCTGTTAAGTTTCTTATTTTTTAATTACGTAAAACGGGTTAGTTTGCGTACTTGCGAAGTCATGCCAACCCTGTAAAGATCATAAAAAAAATTTCTGAACCGAGTAAACCAAAAAACTTATCAGCCTACTTTTTTACCTGTCAATCAAGTTTCATGAAAATGACTTGTATTGTGTTCTTAAGAGTATTAAAGGTATTTTTGTACTATACTGGTCTTCGTAGAGTAAAGTGTAATCTTTAATAATGGATGAAAAATATCGAAGAGCTATTCAGATTGTAACATTACTGTAAAATGGAGCAAGTCAACAGGATGTGGCGGAGAGAGTTAAATGTCAGTCGTTCGACTGTGCAAAGAACACACCAATGGTTTCTTGCGACCGGCTCTTATCACCGGCGACAACAGCCAGCTTTCTCACCATTGCTGCTTTACGAGACCAAACGCAACCCGCTAGAATGCTCCAAAGCAGTTTTCAGCAAGCTCATGGAACAGTAGTCAGCACTTCTACTGTTTGGGGAAGGTCAACAGAAAGTGGTTTGACAGCTTGCAGTCCAGCTACAGGACCCTTGCTTACTGTAGCACACCAAAGACGCAGACTTGCTTTTGCTCGCGAACATTTGAATTGGATGATTGGAAAATGTACTGTTTACGGATGAGTGTAGAATGTGCATATATGTAAAAGATGGCCGAAATAAGGTTTACAGAAGAGCTGGAGAACGTTATGCTGCCTGTACTCGGTCACCTCGAGTTGCTTTTGGGGTGGCTCAGTAATGTTTTGGACAGGAATTTCTTTTGAGGCACAAACGGATCTCGTTATTATTAACAGAGGCGCATTAACATTACGACGATACATAACAGAGAACCTAGAAGAGCATGTAATACCATATGCTTGGTTTGTTGAAAGTGTTTTTCTGCTAATGCAGGATAACTCGCGACCACACTCAGCAAGGATGGTAACACAGTACCTTGAAGAGGTTGGTATTCCCAAAATGGATTGATTTCCTCTAAGACCGGATCTTAATTCTATTGAGCATGTTTGGGACCAGATCAAAAGGCGTGTAAGATGTTGCATACTTGTTCCAACAACACGCGAAGAGCTTCGGTTGGCCCTTATTGAGGAATGGACCACTTTTCCCCAAGGAAACAATTAGACCTTGCTGATTTCTATGCCAAATCGAATGAGGAGTGTCATCCAGAATCGGGGTGGCAACATGCCTTATTGAAAAGTGATTGTCACCATTTCTTGCCTCTTTAATTTAGTTATTGCAAAGTAAACTTAACTGTAACTAATTTTTCAATAAATTTATGATTTGTCAATTTTTTTGATTTCTTTTCGTTTGTGACTTATGATGGTAACATCGGATAACATGGTAAAACAATTACTGACTTAATACACAATAGATTTTTAAAAATAAGATATATTTGAAAAGATCAATTATTTCATACATTTTTTAGGTGGCCTGTTTTCTCTGTTGCGCAGTGTAAAATGTTATATAAATATTTTCTAGATTAAAAGATAAGAACAGTACTAACAATTCATCATGTATCTTTCATATTAAAGTCGCCTGCAATAAATGCCACTTTATTTTCTTTACGTATTTCGTCTAGGATATTTTCTAAATTTTCCATGAAACTAGCCCTGACTGGTCCTGGAGGACTATAAATTGAAACTATAATAATTTCGTAACTATACTGCCTCCTAAGCCAAAAAGTGGTGTCTCAAAAAAAAAACGAATCTTGTTTTATTAACGCATCGGATAGCTTGAAAAATTTCGGGTTGTAACTAAGAAAAATATGCATATCTTATTCAGAACATAAAAAAAATTACATATCTCAATGTCACTTGTATTTACTAAAAGGCTTAGGGGAATCCAATATTACTTAACTAACTGGCTGCATATCCTCATACGCCACAAGAACTTTCACAAGTATTATTCAAAAACAAGAAGTAATTTAAAACAATCCAGCGGTACCTAAATATTTTTTTACTCAAGGGAACGTGAAAACAACTTTTAGAAAATGTGTTTTTTTTTCTCAAAACTCGCTTCAACTGAGACACTGCTTTTTACTTTCCTATCTGTATACAGATATAAGGAAAGTATAGGAATCATGATTTTTTTCGACCTCGAGTTTTTGACGGATTTTTACGTTTTGAGGTCTCCTGAATCCGTTTTGACTATTTTCGCGATGATGTGTGTGTGTGTGTGTGTGTCTGTGTGTGTGTGTGTCTGTGTGTGTGTCTGTGTGTGTGTGTGTCTGTGTGTGTGTGTGTGTGTGTGTGTGTGTGTGTGTGTGTGTGTGTGTGTGTGTGTGTGTGTGTGTGTGTGTGTGTGTGTGTGTGTGTGTGTGTGTGTGTGTGTGTGTGTGTGTGTGTATAACGCATAACTCATGAACCGATACACAGAAAAACACCAAATTTTAAACTTAAGCTTTGTTTCAGCGTCCAATGAGCTGATTAGATTTTGGGCAGAGTCGGAACATCTGGGGGGGTACTTTATAGGTGGTCATTTTTATATTTTATGGAATATATCTGTTATTTACGTTTGGAGAAGAAAATTCTTCAAATAAAAGTTACTTCTAATATAATTATCTATAATTTTTGTTATATACAAAATTTTCCTAAAATGGTCCGTATTCGAGAAATTTGACAAAATGTAAAAAAAATAATTTTTTTATAAAAATTGTTCAAATAAAAGTTGTTTGTAATATAATTTTTATTCTATACATAATTTCTCTAAAATGGACCGTATTCGAGATATTTGAGAAAATGTGTAAATTTCGAATTTTGAAGAAAACTCAAAAACGGATAAAGAAAAAAACATTAAATTTTAAACTTAAGGTTTATTTCGGCCTGACGTGAAATGATTAGATTTTGGACATAGTCGGAACATCTGGGGGGGTACTTTATGGGAGGCCACTTTTATATTTTATGGAATATATCTGTTATTAATGTTTGGAGAAAAAAATTGTTCAAATAAAAGTTACTTCTAATATTATTATCTATAATTTTTGTTTTTTGTAAAAATTTCCTGAAATGGTCCGTATTCGAGAAATTTGACAAAATGTGCAAAATTCTGATTTTTATCAAAGTTTTTAAAATAAAAGTTGTTTGCGATATCGATCTCTATAATTTTTGTTTATGCATGATTTTTCTAAAATGGACCGTAATGAAAAAATTGTAGGATATTTAAATTTTTCAGTATTTTCGTTTTCCATGAATATCTATAGAAAAATGTTTCGAGGTAGATGTATGTGGACAATGTATATATTTAGTTTATCCTCTAAACATTTATAGAGATGCTGTAATAGGTTGTACAAAATAACCGGAAAAAGCCTACAATAACTAGATAGGAAAGTCATGTGTTGGACACATCAGATTTTTAGCTTAGGAGGGCCGCACATTGACATAGCTTTAATTTTCTTTTTTTTTTGCTTATATTTGATTCCATTTCTACAGTATATTGCTGAACCTCTATGTTTGTTCCCTGCAGAAGTATGAAACCCGTTAATTGTTAGGGATTTTAATTGTTCTTCAGTTTTCCAATGCAAAATGTAATGCAAAATTGTCTTCAAGAAAATGTTCTACTATTGGTGTCCTATCGATCTTACATTTTGGTGTAGTTAATGGGTTGGATGTTCCCAATAAACACAAACTAGTACATTAATTAGTTTGCGGATGATCAAAACAGTCCTTGCTAAAAAGCATGTACGAAAAGTTAACGCATGCTCAAAACGATATCCATCTACATTCGGTAAACTTAACCCAACTTTTTATTGATAATTTGGCGACTAATAATACTCGTGTAGAGATTATTGTTATTGTTGGTATTTTTATAAAAATGAACGACGAAGACAGTATTCCGTCAAGTAGTGATTCGAGTGATTACGAAGAAGACGAGTTTTTTGTAATGTATGGAGAGCCCAGAAAAAAAAACGAAAACTATTTAGGTAGGCCTTCTTTTTTTCGGGGGCTATATCCAGCGGACAATTTACCCAACCTCTAATGTCATTCATGACAATTTCCATTATAAGCGTTCCCAATAGAACAAAACTTTTTACTAAATTGTAACGTAGGTCAGTTCAAGTACTAATTTCAAACTAATCGTAACGTCTAATTGGGAACAAACCTTATATTAACATTCGTGTACCCCAAGGTAGCGTCCTAGGACCATATTTATTATTTATGTTATATATGAATGATTTAAACATCTTTGTTGATTGTGATATTACAAATATATTTGCAGATAATTCTTTAATGACTTCTTGTGATCATAATTTGGAAAATGCGGTACAAAAAATGTATCGGGCTCTAAACTGCCAATAATTACTTAATGTATAATAAACTTAAACCTAACGTATCAAAAACTAAAACTATGATAATTGCTAAATATAGATATAACAATATAGATTTAAGGGTCGATCTTTTCACCTCTGAGGAAAGTTATATGTAGGTTTACTTGACAGATTAACAAACAATAGCAATATAGTTTAATCAGCAATTAGTTACTTTCAACTTTACCCAGAGCTGAAAAGACTGGCCCTAAATGTATTTAATCTTACAATTAACGATGAGAAAATTGATATTGTAACATTAATTAAATACCTTGGCTTTTAACTTGATCATTTTTTATTGTTTAGTGAACATTTTAATTATATTTAAAAAAAATATATGAAAGAAACTTTACGTTTTTACAAGAATATCAAAAACCTATCAGCTGAAACTAAAATTATAGTTTATCCTTCAATTATTCAGCCACATTTTTATTATTGTTCATCGGTTATCTTCCTTTTCAACCTAAACCAAACGAGGCAATCGTGGTATGGGGATTATTTGAGACGTAGCAAAAATACTCCTATAGCTACCATATTTAGATCACTGCAATGGATTTCGATTTACCAGAGATTATACTATAGTATTTGTATATAAAATATTAGTTGGTTTGGCACCACCTTATTTTCGAGACATTAGTTTTAACAATAATATTCTACCAGAAATAACTTACACATAAACGAACATCAATGAATTCCTTATCTTTGACCATTACAACAAATTGCGGTTTTGAATTAAAGCTAGTTCGTCAGTAACAGTTTTTAAAAAGAAAATGATGAAACATGTTCATGATTAAATGTGCGAATTTCTTTTAAAAATTTTATTTGATAGTATTGATCTGTAGGTACATTTTGTATTTTATATTTTGAACTTTTATATTTTGGACTTTTTTTCTGTTTTGTTCAGTCATAATTTTATTATAATTTTTTTCCGTATTTTGCATTTTGAGTTTGAGGGTTATTTTTTTAACGTTTCAAAAAAAATAATGTTTTTTATATCAGGGTTTCCTACTTCAATAAAGATATTTCAATATTTCAACTATTAATGGTGTTATTACTCAACACATTGGTGTTATGGCAAATTAAAATTGTCCAACTTTATCGTCCATTTTTGCGAAACGGTATTGTCTTGTTTATTGAATCATTTTTTCTCCTAACTTCTTCAATTATCTCTGGTGGTTTGTGAAACCAACCGATATCAATTTGAAAACGTTTCATTATTTTTAGGTAGGAAGATTGAGTAGACAGGCAGCTGAAGAAGGATCTGAACGGAGACGGGCGGTTCAAGAAAAAGATAAACTTGAAGAGACAGTTAAGCAACTCGAGGCAGAACTGGAATGTAACAAATTTGAGTTACTGAACAGGGAAACTAAAATCAAACGACTGATGGAAGATGTTAATGAACTGTCAACAGAATTAAAAACCTTACATTCCGATAACGAAGAAGAAATAACATTCCTAAGATCAGAACTCGTGAGTTCAGATAATGTGTGAAATTGGGTCCTTTCTCTTTTCTTTATAATTTTTCAACCTGCTTTCTTTATTTTAGCACCAAAGCTTTGCTTTCTTATGGATTTATTTTTTAAAGAATGCATTAGATTTAAGGTTTACATATTTGTTTTAATTTGATATATTTATTTATGTTATTTACTTATTTTAGTTGTGTTGAATAAAATTTATTTCAGTATTTTTGAGTTATTTATTCTATGCCTTGTTTTTAATATTTTCAATTGTTTTATGTTAACTAAATTTCGGGATACTTTATTTTAAATAACATATTGACGTAATTTTTATTTTTAAGGATAAAGCAAAAGTCGACTTGAAAACTGTCAAGAAAAATCTTGAAAATGTACAAAGTGAAAGGGAACAACGAGACGATGAGTGTGATAAATTAAAGATATCTGTAGACTCTGAACATCTTGCCAACAGTTCCTTGAGGGAAGTGATTACAAAATTAGAAAAGGAATTATCAGAGGAAAAGTCAAATTCGCTTAATGTACAAAAAACTTTGACCAGGTAGGCAACCACAATTTATTTCTTATTTTACAAGAACATAAATATAAATGATCTGTACTAACTTTAATATTCTAATATTTAAATATCAGTTTATTTGACTTTTTTCCAACCTTTTTTCTTCGCGCACTGTAACATAATTATTGGGTAGGTTCATAACAAGTATAAAAACCTTAGATGGAACATAAGACACTGCGCATAATCCCATTTCGAAATTATTTACACCCACCAATCACAGTTGAGAACATCACATGTCAGAGCGTTGTCCATCCAAATGTAATGTGTCAACGAGAATTAATTTGGTATTTTAGTGACTTATATTTTGGAAATTAACGTTTAAAATGCCAAGATTTGTTGTAGAAAGCTTTATTTATAATAAAAGTGCGAAATGTGACGGATATAAAAGAAACTTATATTTATTTCGGTGAGATATTTAATTTTTAAAGATTCTGTCGACGTCCATATTTGTTGATTTGAAAATAAACAGAATCGGACTTGGTCATTGGTACATGTTATAAGTAGCAAATAAAGGTTATTTTTATAAACTGTTTACTATTTCTTGTTTCATGGTGAATCTGTTTTCAGGAAGTGGAAAGAGAAACATACAATCAAATACAAAAATATCAATTTCATTGCCAATTTATTCGTTTCAAACTTCACAACTGGTTTCAATAGTTTTTTCAAAACTATTTATTTAGTATTTCTCTATAACAGGGTTACTCAAAGTGTGCTTCGTGGAGCCCTGGGGCTCCGCAAAGCCTTTGTGAGGACTCCGCGAAGAAAATAATCATAATAAAAAAAAACAGTACTATCGCCACAAAATGGAGGGACCTGGCTTGAAGACCTTTTTTTTGAAAAGTAGTTTTTTTAAGTCACTAAGAGGAAGGAGGATATGATTTTGCTTTAGGACTTTTATTTTTTTTTTTATGGGTGAAATGGATTTGGGATAATTCTTGCAAGGAATCTTTGGCATTAATCAAAAATAAATTAACAACAAATTATGTTCTTATGCATTTTCAGCGTTGCCGATTAAATTAATCGTAGATGCATCAAATGTGGGAATAAGGGCCATATGTCATGTTTTTTAAAAAAATATTGAGAAATCTATGACTTCTGCATCGCGTACCTTATCAAAGTCCGAACAAAAATATTCCCAAATTGAAAGAGAGGGCATTGCAATAATTTTTGGCTTAAATAAATTTTATGAATATTCATATAGACATTTATTTATCCTAGTTGCAGATTACTTACCTCTGATAACTATTTTTAACCCAGCTAAAGGTATACCCCAATTTTCAGCCAACAGACTACGTAGATGGCAGTAATATTGTCAAATTACAATTATAAAATTGAATATGTAAAATCGGAGCATAATATGAAGCCGATTTTTTATCACGTTTACCTTGAAAGTCAAAATGAGAGTCAAATTGAAGAAAAAAATTTGACAAATATTTTTAAAATTATGTGTTTAATGTGTTGAGGGCTCCGTCAAATATTACGCTTTTCAAAAAGGTTCCGTCCCCAAAAAAGTTTGAGAAACACTGCTCTATAATAATATGGGATCTATCCATTTAATTACATTTTATTTTCTCTAATTTTGACATATAAAGTAATATATTGTCACGCTAAACAAATATCACCCTATATATAAAATATACATTTTCTATTTTTTATTTTCTAGGGAGGATGACTGCTGTGTCCTTCTGGCTGAGATCTAGTTTTGTAATACTTGTATTATTAAATATCTAATAAAACCAATAAACGCTAAACAGAAAAAGAAACATTTAATTAATGTGGGGATTGTAGCTCTATGCGCTATTTTCTCTAGTAGTACTCCAGAAGGCGCCATCGGTTATCTCTATTTTAAAATTTGGAGTTTCTTCAAGAAACACTAATATCCTGCACAAAAAAAGTGTTAGTATATGATTAAAAAAAAAAATTTAAACTAAATAACTAATATATACGGATATACGTTTATTCAATTAACTACAACCTTTTCCGTATTTCTATTTCTATATAGTATGGACCGAACCATCGTAGAAGTTTCTCACTTCTTCCCAACCTACGGTACGGAGACATCCGTTCCTGTTGTTAGGTTGTATCCCCCCACCGGTCTTTTGCACCCAGCAACAGATTTACTTAAAATTCCCTTGAATTGATTTCAATAAGTTGTTTAACAGTTTTCGCAGATGTAACAATTCGCGTTTAAATTATCCCAATCTTCAGCGGCGAGACATCCGTCCACTACCCCTAATGTCTGATCACACAAGAGATGTTGGTCGGTATCTGGGCCTTGAAAATCTGTTTAATCAATGTCTGATCACACAGAAAAAACAAATTTTCTTACCGATTGGGATTTTTACTGATTTTTTAACCCACTCAATCTCTATCAGCGGGGTGTTTGTCACCTATCCCTAATGTCTAATCACACAAGGGATACGTAACGGTGTTGTGCCCCCGGAATACCTTCGCTTCAATGTCTGATCACACAGAAGAAAAGATATTCGTAGCGATTGGCGTTTAGTTATTCCCTCTATGTCTGATCACACCGAAGGTTTAACTAGGAAAATTGGGAACCTTATCTCAGGGTCTGATCACCAAGAAATAAGTTTCAAGAAGCAAAAATACGGTAAAAACACCTGCGTTAACTATCGTACAACCCTTGTATTTAGGCAAAAGAAAATATTAAAATTAATACAAGTTACAAAACAAAATATTTGTAACTATGCCTTTAAAAAAAAATTTTTGAAATTGAACCTTTTAGGAAAATTTAATTTCATAAAGTGAGGTAGCTGTGTGATTTTTCAATTTTAATTAAAGGTACAATAAGGAGTTAATTAGGAAGAATTAACCCTTTGAGATTTTTAAACCGGCACCTCCACCATATGTCACGACCCCCTTTTCTATGGGTCGAAAGAATTATTTAATGTTATTAATTCGTGCTACCTTTCTTTATGAAATAAAAGTCGAGTTGAAATATAACAATTTTATTAATCAATAAATAATTAATATTCAAAAAATGTGTAACAGATCATATTAATAATACAATATGGGCCTTACCATGGGCTAAACATCTAAATGGCGACGAGGGCACGTCACGTTACTTCTTCGCTGGGATGAGAGACAATGATGAGACTCAAACTAAGAGTCCCGGATGAGACTCCGGCCAAGAGTCTCGGATGAGACCCCGACCAAGAGTCCCATTATTGTTGACTTAGCCGATTTTTATATTAATCGACTAAGGTCAGTACGTGTCTAGTTTAATGTTATATTTACTTTTATTAAGGACGTACTTATGAATTGCAACTAATGTTTATCAAAATATTATATCAAATATTATGCTAAATTATTTAACTTAACGAATGTATATTAAAATAGAAAATGTATATTTTATATATAGGGTGATATTTGTTTAGCGTGACAATATTTTATAAAGTAGAACATTATGCAACTGATTACGAAAAGTTGATTATGTCACCAGTTACGAAATGAAAATAAATAAAACTGCCTCTTTTTTGGTTTTCAAGTTGAAAAATCGAGAAATCGAGTAATCGAAAAATCTAAAAATAAAAAATCGAAAAATCCAAATACGAAAAATCGAAAAAACCAAATATCGAAAAAAAGGCCGAGAATAGTGACATTTCACATTTGAAAATATGACATTACGTTTAACAACAAAAAAAAAAAAAAAAAAAGAAAAGCTTTAAATTGCGTTTTATTTTTTAAATAATTGAACACCGTTATTGAAAACTGCCCAGAAATGTTGGGGGTAAAATTTTGACGTACTCCTTTAAGGATAATGGGTAAAAATGTTTTTTTTTTTTCAAATTTCTCGCGGGTAATGTCAAAAATCAGATCGACAACACTGCACATGTTCCTTATTTTTATTATTATTGAAAAAAAAAACGTCGTAGGGCAATCAAATACAACAATTTTCTGAAATATTTGATTGGAAATACCTACAAAAGAATGCTGGTGAATTATTTTTCAACACAATTTTATAAATAATCAAGACAAAATTAGAAAAAATCTTGTATGTAAACACGTTACCAAATGCCGTTTTGTGTAACTCGTTCATTTTGCAGGACCTCGCTCCGCTCGTCCCGCAAATATTTACTCGTTACACAAAATAAGGCATTTCGTAACTGGTTACATAAATAGCTATTAATTGACTTCCTAATATTTTAAATCATTGAACGGTATTTTCCGTAAATAATTAAATCATAAATAATTACCGGTATATAAGTACCAAAACATTTTTTTTCTTCGAAGAATAGGCTTATGTCAAATAAACTTAAAATATAACGAACGAAAAGGTAACCCATTTCTAATAAAATTTAATTATTTATTTTATTTTGGTGTGATCGTAGAAAAAATCTTGTGTGTAATTCGGCAAAAAGTACTTTGGCTGTTTCGATAACTTTCTCTCATCAGCTATTTTGTTACAATAATTTTATAAACTTCTACTTAGGGTCGATTTCACCGTTTTGTTAAACGAAGTGTAAAATAATAAACGAAGATTAAAATTACATTTTTATATTAACAAAAATAAAGTTTAAATTACTAAATGGAGTTTAAAATGACATTTTTACATTAACAATGTCATTTTAATCTTCACTTAGTAATTTAAACTTCGTTTGGCACAACGGTGAAATCGCCCCTTAGCTAGTTATATATTGATAAAGTGTTATTGCCCTCATCATAAATGAATCGTGCTGACAAATAAAGTCAAAAAAACGTGTTATAATTTTTCATCTTTACCTACCAAAATTAGGTACTACAATACAAATATTTAAGTCCGGCCCAGAACATATCCCTACTCCTTCCACCCAGTTTTTCGGTTTTGGCAAAATTCGCGCAGTGACAAACGCTTCCTATGTTACCTCTACCCTTTCTAACCTCTTTGATAAAAACCTATATGGAACATTTAGCTGTCTTAACATATAATTATTCTATGGAAACCCTACCTAACGTAAAATTGTTAGTTACAACGTTGTTATGGTCGACCCTTCAATTAACCAAAATTTGTACCACTATATTCCGAGTACAGCTCTGCGTATCGCATTCCAATGGACTTTCCAACACTCTCAGCCTTTAATTTTGGAGTTCTCCAAAGTGAAATATTTCTCGTCATCAATTTTGATCGACTTGTTTTTTACAAAATGGACTGACTGTCGTAGAATTAGGCAACAACGTGGCATTCTGGTCAGCTAATTGGGGGTACTTCTGACATTTTTGTATGTTTAATCACTTCCTTTTAAAATTCTGTAAACAGTACTGTGGGAATATTATTTTCTATGGTTACTTTTCGACTAGAGATGCCGACCCTGTTTTTCATTCTCATACGAGGTTTGTCAAAAATATTAATTTTGTCCAAGAGTATAAAATCTTTATTTTTAATACTATCAAAGGTTGATTAGAATTGAAGACTTTGTTCTAATTATGTAATTACATCCATCTATCCTGAAAAATAAGATTTCATTATTTTTTATACATTTCTCTTTATAATGGACGTAAAAATATTTCTCTTTATAATGGACGTAAAAATATTTCTCTATACATTATTTCTATTCTTCTTCAGGGTAACTTCTGAGAAAAATACGACACTTTTGCGTAACGCAGAAATTTCCCAGCAGATGGAATTAGTCAGACAGGATATGCGACGTCAAGAAAAGGAAATGCATGAATTGTTAAATAAATTAACGAGTTTGGAAGAAGATAATTTGAAATTAAAAGAAAGTATACACGTGGAACAAAGACTGAGAAACAGCATATCCGAATTAGAGGATCAAATAGCTGAAAAGAATAAGGTAATTAAAAGAACACTGTCTTCCAATATTTTATTATACTATTCATACATCTATGGAGAGAATTATAGATTTACTTTCGAGAAACAACATTTTTAATATTGATACAAATTTAAAAATGTTTTTACCAAATATTAAATGACTTTTAAACATGTCCGTCAGATGTCACGTTTTTTTTTGTCTGCACGATAAGTCAAAAACGAAATAAGATCAATTTTCGATTGGGGCCATCGTGTTCAATTTACAGGGTGACAAACTTAATTTTTAAAAATTTGTTTTTCATTATACTTTCGTCGTTGTATTAAGTAGATGGCTTAAAATTGGTTTTTTTGGGATGACAAACCATAATTTGAGCATAAATATCACCTACCTCGTAGAGGGCGCTAGTTGCAAGTCATTAAACATGATGGCCCCAATCGAAAAAAATAATATACTGACCTAAGAAATCTATGGTTAATAGATTGGCCTTCTTTTTTGGAACACCATATATAAGGTGGTGAAGCCTAATTTTAGAAATCTAAGCACAAATGGAGTCTGTTAAATTATGAAGAGTATAATATAGGATATCAAACATTATATATCCTTACTCTAGTTTAAATCATAAATTGTATCCTCATCCTAAACAACTTTGCCTTAATTAATCAAAATTGGTGCACATTTATTACCAGAAATCAAAATATATTCTATATTAAACATAGTTCTACCAATTGCCACTTAAACTTGCCCTACGGATATTATAAATCCTACAAGTCCCTTTCCTTGGTGACTTTGACACTACGAGCCCCTTCCTATTTCAGTTGGCCCACCTATTAATATTTAGGAAATTCGTATATAAAGATTAAAAATATAAATACTGCATGAACTTTCCAATTTTTATTCGTTGAACAATATGTTTAATATCGTTTAATCATAAAAAATATGTATAAAACATTAAAATATTTATTTAACGCAAAATAAAAAAAAAATAAATAGTTGGAATCAAACAATAATCAATTTTAAAGTTTACCATTAAGTAACGTCACCTTTATTTTTTATTACAGCTGAAATTCTTTGCGACATGGTATTAACTAAGTCTTGGCAAAATTTTGGTGTAAAGAATCCCATATATCTTGAAGTTTTTGTTTAAGTTCAGGTATTCTTCTTGCAGGATGTTTTCAAAGTACTTTTTTCATCTCATGCCACAACAATTCTATTGGTGATAAATCAGGACTACTAGAAACTCTTCCAAAAGTGGAATACTGAAGTCTTCCATCCATTTTAGGGCTTTTTTTGACGTGTGACATCCTGCTCCATCTTATTGAAGTACAAAATCTTTCCCTGGTGTCAAATATAATTCTATAGTCGGTAAAAGTGATTCCTCCAAAATGTCCAAATATTTATTTGTATTTACAATTCCTTCAATAAAATGCAGTTTCCCTATTCCTTTCGATGACAAGCTGCCCCAGGGAAAAATAATCGATTATTAATCGATTATTTTGATTGATCGACTATTTCGATTAATCGATTATTTATTAAAAATAATTTGGCCTGACAAGTCATTTTTGCGATTTTCTTATGGCACGGAACGTGGTAAATCTAATCCTGTTAATACTTTATTTTTATGATTTTTATATCAAATAATTTTCTGTTTCAGAATATCAAGACTCTCCAACTTCGCCTTGCAGACATGAAAAAGACTCTCCAGCAAGAGTTACGAACTCCAGGAAATCCTAACTATCATTCCGACCTCATGGATTTAAATTCGGCCGCAATCTTAACACCAACGCAAGTGTCAACTAGGAATTTCCCGTCGATGGTGAGAAGAGATGACGAAGATGTTAATTTTAAGTATCTGAAACATGTTGTTTTGAAATTTTTAACGAGTAAAGAATACGAGGCTCAACATTTAATCAAAGCAATATCTACGCTCCTAAAATTTACGTCTGACGAAGAGAAGCTGATACAAGATACCATAGAATGGAGGAAATCGTGGTTCGGGAGCAAACCAAGGTATCCTGGTTCATCGAAACATAAAAATTATTCCAACAGTTGATGGTTGTTTTCTTTAAATCATTATTATTTTTAATGGTATTGAAGATTTGAATGAAATTGGAATTTGTGTAGAATTTTGAGAAGAATGTTGCCACTATTTATTTAATTGAATTATGTTTAGAATATTTATTACTGCTAATAAATTTGATACGTGGCAAATTGTTATTACAAATTCTACACAGTTGTTTTGCAGCTGGGTTGTATCAATGAGCTGTACACTTTAATGGTTGTTTTTGTTATTTAGCTTTAGATGGTAGATTATTTTCCAAAGAGTTCCAATTTTAAAAGAAAGTAACCCATTATTAGCTTTAATTTTTAGGAGTCAATTTTCATTCCAACTGTATGTGATAATATACATGGGGTACTTGTCAGAAGTGTGTTTTGTAAATATGTATATAAGCCTTGCCTCTTATTTCAATTTATACATTTTTCATGAAAATTCATTAAAGCTATATTTATTTGAAGTAATGATTCATTTCTACATATAAAAACGATTCCCTTCCCTCTCAATCCCTTGGCACGTGTTTATTTATGAAGGATAATTGAAATGCGTTTTGTATTACCCTGTATCAAACATGGATTGTGGATTGTATATGATCACCAAATCATTGATCTTTACAGAACATTATTTATTCTGTGTTGCTCAATACACTGACAATTAGCAGCCCGGCAGACCCGCCCGGCATTGGAGCATACCCCACGACTGGCACCGAATTTAAACGAGACATCTCAAATTATTTTACGGGTCGATTCTGAATCAATCTATAAGATCTGTAAGCCAAAATCTCTAAAAAAATTACATTACAATACCTTACAGATTCTGTAGCTTATAGGATATTTTCCAGAATCCTACCTTTTTTTTTTAAATATGTTATAAAGACAACGATGTTTACCTTAATTTTAAAATGGAAAATCGGGGAAAGCAACATGTATGTAAGTATTTAAAGCGATGAGTGAAGTATTCTTATATATTATATAGGATTCACAAATAAATACGTAACAGGGTCAAACATTTATTTACGGAATTTTACATAGGTGGTAGGTCAACATATAAACTTCAAAATAAACGAAATAAATTCAGAAAAGCGATATTTTTTAAGTATTCGAATGTAATCGGAAATCGAATATTTTCGATTAATCGATTTTTTCAATTAATCGATTCTTTTCGATTAATAATATAGTAATAATAATCTCCCTAATTCACCCCCTACGAGTGAATTTCAACCCTTGAAGCTGACTGAGCGACTTGTGGGACGGCTATTATTATTATTTGCTGTTAATCGAAAGATGCGAATTTTCCATTAATCGATTATTTTTATGAATCGATTATATTTACCACTTGAGTATAGCAAGTTAGGATGAGATTACAGAACGTCTGCAACTTTGCAGATCTGCAAATATGGCGGCAACTTTGAAAATCTGCAAATATGACTGACTTACACATGCAAATATCAAGTTTTCGTATTCCAAATTTGGGTTTAGGGTTGTTGGGGGTAATAAACCACAATAAATATTGCGAATTTGCAGATATTTTTTGGAATACTTGCATTTGTAAGTCCGCCATATTTGCAGATTAGCAAAGTTGCAGATCTGCAAAGTTGCAGACGTTCTGTAATCTCACTCTTAATTAATAGTTGTAGTGTTTGCAAACAGTATGATATTGTAATCGATTAATCAAAATCGAAAATATCCGATTAATCTAAAATAATCGATTAATTAAAAAAAATTATCGATTTTTGTATTTTGTTCGCGGTTTGCATTGTGTATTTGAATTTACTTGATACAATTGTTTTTACTTATAGTATGGTATAGTGTAAATAAAGTTTTGAACAGTTCACCGGGCAAAATGGGAGCAAAACCCATTATTTTGATATTGGCTTTCCAAAGCCCGGGATAGGTAACAGTGGCTATTGCATAGCCAGGTAATGAAAAAATTTAATAAAGAATTTCTTCACTAAAATAGTAAGTTGCATAAATGAAGATTAAATCTTAAACCCAGAATAATACATTTTATCCATCGATATTTGTTATCTAAGCTCTAAGCTATTGTCATATTTAGGTTGTATTATTTGATGGATTATATTGACATTTGTGTACACATAAGTTTGAAGTTTGTCTTTTTATCATATTAGGCATTCCAAACAAATGAATTGCCATTGGGAAGGTTTGGTATATCTAAGGGTGGCGACATACGGTGTATTCTATCTACTTTACGTAAAATCATGAATAATGGATTACATTTAAATATTTTATGTCAAACACAATAAAAATAATATTTAAAAAACCTACCTATACATTTCTTCATAAATTGACAGGCTTGGCTACTACTACTTCGAATAAAAATAGCGTCCAAGTTGCAAGACTATGTCGCTTAGATATACAAGAATTTCCCACTGGCACATATTGTTTGACAGGTCGTTGGAATGCCTAATTGGTAATATTTAGTAAATGTTTCTTGTCTAAATCAGTATTCAGTAAAGTTCTTGCACTTTTCACGCTTGCTTATATTCTTTGTGTTAAAAGTTAACCATTAATCCAAAATGAATAACTATTTTAATGAATAGAATTAAAATATGGTTCGTTCACAAAATCATAGGATTTTCTAGAGACACGGTTTCGAATCCTACGGAAGACCATGTGAATTTATTTGCATGGTTCTCTATAGCATTTGATGGATGCCGAATTAGCAGAAATTTAATTTCTGTTGATATGACATCCAGATTAAAAATCGCCAAGCGTTACCGTTTTCGATTATGGTGGGTGGGGTTTTCCTTACCTGTAAGTCAAATGGCACCATCAATCATCTTTAAGTCGCCTGGAGTGCCACGGCAAATAAATAGCCGTCCCTTTCCCGGGACAATCTCAGCTTTTGGGGTTAAAATTCACTCGTAAGAGGTTGAATTAGTGAGATTATTATTATTATTATTATTATATTAAGTGATGTTCAAGCAATCTTTTCATAAATCAGGAATCTTAAAAAAAACCGGAATTGTATTAAAACAGACGATGCCGAAGAAGTTTTGAGCGATATTGTACAAAGTTTTGAACAGAAATTACAAATGCTAAAATTATTGGAAAAAATTGAATCCTATTTTAAATTACTACTGCCACTGGCTACCTACATTTTAAAATAAATAATATCAAATATATATCGTAAATAAAATGAAAACCTCCAAATAAAGGTAGTTTGTCCAAGAGAGAGAATATATGTTTATTGTCCAAGTTAAAATACTTATTGACAAACACAATATTGTACAAATTACAAATAAATAAATAGTCATTAAAATATTAACAAACATTATTATAAATTAACATTAATACATACATCTAAAATAAAATAGAACAAAACAAAATAAAACACATATCACAGTGTCTCGTCATTATAAAATTCTGTACCTAATATAATAAGGCCTAGTTAACAGAAATCTCCTGAGCAGCTTTCTAAAACAATTCTGTGACTCAACATCTGTCAAAGTATGTGAGCCTATTGTACATCTTAATACCATTGTATATAAAAGAGTCTCTTATAAGCTCAGTTTTGGGAATAGGCAACTTCAAGTTACCCGTTTGGCGAGTTACACGGGATGTATTCGATTTATATTTCGACTTGTTCTTATGGATCATGCAACAAGTTTCTAAGATAAATAAAGATGTTAATGTTAATATTTCTTGTTTTAAGAACAGCGCGGTCTGCATGAAACTAATCTGTGTGCTCCACATAAGAACCTTTTGCCCGTTTCTGCATTATAAAGACTCTGTCAAATAACTCGGCAAAAATGAACAGCATAACGTAAATGGGAGTCAATAACAGGATCCAGTTTTGTTTCATTTTTGATGTACAAAGTGTTAAAGGTTTTTTATATCTAAAATATCTAATATCTAAAAAAGGCTTAGATCGATTTAATGAAATTTTCAGTTTGTTAACAACTTTATGAGGTGTCTTTCGGATATGTTACAGTTGATCCAGTAGATTCAGAGGTGTGCGCACAGGAAACTTCCTTTAGAATTTTTGAATCTTTCATTTTTTTTTTAATATACTAACTAAAAATATACTTTTTTTTCTTTCTTTTATCTTACTTTGTTTCCGAGGAAAAAATTAGAATTACAATTTTGAATGTCTCTGAATATCTTTACATAAAAAATGCAAAATTGTATATGGTGTAACAATCCTGGAGGACAACAGCGAATAATAATAATAATAATAATAATAATTTCTCATCACTCGAATTTCAATTAAATTTGAGCGACAAGAGATTTAGGTTAGTATTTATTTGGCCAAGGGTTGAAATAAGGAGTGATACTTTTGCAGCAAATAAAGTATGACAGAAGTCAAATTTTGATTTTGGAAATAAACCTTTCTCTGAGGAATATTCTGACAAGTTAGGTAATTAAAAGAAAAACCTTTATTTGTGAAGTTTATTTGAGTAAATATGGTACATTTTACAGGACTTGGTTGCAAAAATGGGACCTACTTGTGCAATAACAGTTTTTCTATTAAAAAACGTAATTTACATTTAAAAGTAGGACAGAACTACCTTTGTAGAAAAGTAGTAATTCAGGTAGGCCAATTGCTAGACATTGACAGATTTGGTTTTTATAATTACAATTCTTATAAATAAATCTGCAACTACCTAATATCAATATCCAGTCTTAAAAAGTTGTAGGTCTAAAATACATTTTTTTTTCTCTTAAACTAATCTGAAAGCCAAACATGTTTTATCACAGAAAAATATATTCGATTTAAGTTTGAAATATTTTTATTCCAAAAGTAAAAAGTGATTTTTCAACGCTTAGCGTTCACTTTTTGCTAAAGGTTATCTTTAATTTTTTATTTTTCTACAACCGAAACCGTTTGAAAAGATTGTTTCAAAAAGTTAAAACATCCATAATCGTATATATTATACACCAAGGGACTGAAGTGACACTTTATATCCCTCTTCGAGGGATAAAAATACACATGAGTCCCGCGGTTTATATGCCATTTTATGTACTTTTAGAAAAGTAGAACTAAAACATAATGACAATTATGAAAAACCACTTAACGGTACTCTAATAACAAAGCACTGACGATTGACGATGTCAGTGCATGGTTGTTATAGAAAAAAAGCAATAAAATGATTTATCAATTTGGGGGCGTCCATTAATTACGTGAGGTATTTTTGAGGATTTTTTGACTCCCCCTCCCCCCTTGGCGAGATTTGGTAAGATTTTCCTTAACTCCCTCCCCCCCGTCCCTAATCTCACGTGAGATTTTTTAAAATTCGTGTTTTGGGTGTAAATGTGTTGGATTATTAAAAAAAAAACAAAAACACAATATGTTCCATTACTTTTATTTAAGACTAGCAAAGACTAGTGTGTAAGAGTGTTGCAATTATTTAAAATCACATTAATAAAATTAAATGATAAATACTTAAATGGAAATGTCGTGAGATTAGTTAGATCACCGAGACGCGAAGCGTCGAGGTTAG